CAGAGACCTCTGGGATTTCCTCGTTGACAGGGACACACAGCATTTGTGGGGTTACCCAGTGCAGAGCCCTGAAAGGGAGGAAAATGGCAAACAGGGTTTGAACTGGGTAGCCTTTGGGGTCCCTTCCAATAATAATAATAATAATAATAATAATAATAATAATAATAATGATGATGATGATGATGATGTTATTCTATCTTGAGAATAATAATAATAATAATAATAATAATAATAATAATAATAATATAGTAATTCCATTTTCCTGTCTGGCAAACGGGGTTTGGACTGGGTGGCCTTTGCGGTCCTTTTCAATGTGAGTCCAATAATAATAATAATAATAATAATAATAATAATAATAATAATAATAATAATAATAATAATAATAATAATAATAATTCCATCTTCCTGTCTGGCAAATGGGGTTTGGACTGGGTGGCCTTTGCGGTCCTTTTCAATGTGAGTCATAATAATAATAATAATAATAATAATAATAATAATAATAATAATAATAATTCCATCTTCCTGTCTGGCAAATGGGGTTTGGACTGGGTGGCCTTTGGGGTCCCTTCCAACTCTGTGATGATAATAATAATCCTAATGCCTTCTCTTTCCTGACTGCGCACCTGATCCTTCGCTGGACAGCCAGGTCCTTCTTCTCGTCTTCGGTGGTCTCAGGGCAGAAGACATACTTATACAGCCGGGTCATGACGTACTTCTCCACTTGGTCCATCGCTTTTTCCACTTTCTCCGGAGGCACTGGAGGGAAAAAGGAGGAAGGAAAATTGTCTCTTTTTTGGGAAAGGAAAGATGTTTTGCCAGAAAAAAAGGGGAAAGACCATCAAATACCTTTCCAGCGAGTCTGGAGCTTCTCAGCCACGTTTTGATAGAAGTCCTGGGCATATTCAGACTGCTCCTCGATGCTCAGGTCCTGCGAGAGAAAAAGGCACCAAAGCAGAAAACAATATTTACATTATTATTATTATTATTATTATTATTATTATTATTATTATTATGAATATGACCAATAATAAGGCAGGGGTTGGACTGGATGGCCCTTGGGGTCTCTTCCAAATCAAGGATTCTATTATTGCACTATTTACAAGAATAAGGTTTCCGTAACACAAATAAATTTCTTTATGCTTCCTTCTTTGCTTCCACGCTGGGCTTTTTCCTCATGCAGATAAAGAGCTTCACTCTCACAGAGCCTCTTCTCACACCAAACTTACACAGGAGCTTCACACAGTAGCTTTACACAAAGCAGCCTTCACACTGGAGCTTCACACAGTAGCTTTAACCTGGAGCTTCTCTCACCAGGCTTTCTAACTCTGAGGCCTACTACTACTGAGGCCTCTCTCACTGAGATTTACCTCACACTGAGGCCTCTCTCAGATTGCGGCCTCTCTAACGCTGGAGCCTTTTCAAAGCCTTCTCTGAGGTTTACCGCACACTGAGGTCTCTCTAAGACTGAGCCCCCTCTAACACTTGAGCCTTTTCATACTGAGGCCTCACACTAAGGTTTACATCACACTGAGGACTCTCTCAGATTGAGGCCTCTCTAACACTGGAGCCATTTCAAACTGAGGCCTCTCTCTGAGGTTTACCTCACACTGAGGCCTCTCTCAGACTGAGGCCTTTCTAACACTGGAGCCTTTTCATACTGAGGCCTCTCACACTGAGTTTTACCTCACACTGAGACCTCTCTCAGACTGAGGGCAACGAACACTGAGGCGTACTAAACTACAGGTGCATCTGCTTATATTGAACTGCAACTTTTGCTGGGTCATTGCATCCGTTCCACCCTTTCAGTGCCTGACTCACATTTTTGCAATTAAAAATACCTAGTTAATTTCTAATATTTCTGACAATTACTTCCTAATGGGTTTGATCATAAAAACACGGGGAAAGTTCATGAAACTGCACAATCTTTGTCTTTGCAGGAGGGACATCCTGCTATAACACATTTTGCTATAGTTTTTCAATCTGATTGAATCTCGACCAATTCAACATAGTGGCATCCACAAAAATGAAGTTTCTGAAGTAGAATTACAACTTTGGGAGTGCAGTGAAACAGGAAATGACTTTCAAACCAGGAACAGATGATGATGTTAATAATACGAATGCTCATCCTCACCCGCTTGTGGTGCATGTGTTCCAGGAAGAGCTTGCACTGCTTGTAGAGATCCTGCCCGGGCTTTTGGTAGGGCTTGAGGAACTCCACAAAGTCCTTGGAGACCCGGTCTGTCTCCAGGCTGACCTGCCGGCTGATGGAGGGGCTCCCGGCCTTGGCCTCAGGGGCCTCTGAGGAGGAAGAGAAAGATACAAGGGTCAGCAAAACATTTGCAAGTAACAGGGAGAGGGATCTGTCACCTCAATGGCTGGCAAACCTAAAGTCCTCACACTTGCTAAAGAGAGCGACAGGTCAGGGTCTCGCAGGCTGTTGGTTGGCCTGACTAGTCTGTTGTTGTTATTTGACTTCAAGGTGACCCTAAAGGGACTCTCTCGCAGAGTTTTCTTGCCAAGATTTATTCCAAGCAGGTTTGCCTTTACCACCCTTTGAGGTTGAGATGGGCAGAAAGACTAGAAATAAAAGCAATGATGGTATGGAGAGAAAAAGTGGGATATAAATAATCATATTAATAACAACAATAATAATATTATTATAAGAAAATAATGATAACATATTTTTATCAATATTACAACAAAAGAATAATAATAACAATATCATAACAACAAAAGAATAATATTAACAATAATAATAATATAATAACAATATATTAACAGCAATAATAATGGTAATAACAAGATAATATAATATTCTAAGAATATATGAATAATAGCATTATGACAATGTAATATAACGTAACGTAATATAATAATATACCAATAATAGCACTATAATAATTTATTTATTTAAAGTATTTAGATACCGCCTTTCTCACCCCTGGGGCGACTCAAAAAGAGGTTTATATTTCATAATGTATATAATATAATGTAATGTAACATAATAATAATAATAATAATAATATAATAGCAACAAAATAAGAATGATGGCAATATAATAATATTATTAACTATATTATAACATCAGCAATATAATAATAATGATGACGATGTTAATATTAATATCATATAATAAGAGGAATAATAATAACAAAAAAATATAACAACAGCAAAATAATAATGGCAATAACACGATAATATAATAATAGGAATAAGAATGTAATAATAATAACAAAATAAGAATGATGGTAATATAATACTATTATCAATTATATTGCACCAACAAAATAATAATAATGGTAGTAATATAATAGGAATAATAGTATAACAACAACAAAAATATTATTAACTATATTATAACAACAGCAATATAATAATGATGATGACCGTAATATTAATATCATATAATAATAGGAATAATAATATTAACAAAAATTTTATGACAACAGCAAAATAATAATAATAATAATAATAATGGCAATAACACGATAATATAATAATAGGAATAAGAATGTAATAATAACAACAAAATAAGAATGATGGTAATATAATACTATTATCAATTATATTATACCAACAAAATAATAATAATAATGGTAATAATATAATAGGAATAATAGTATAACAAAAAAAATGATGGTTATATAATAATGTTACTAACAATAATATTATAAGAACAGCAACAACAAAATAATGATGACGGCAATAATAATATAATAATAAAAATAATATAATCAAATAACAACGATGATATAATAATATTTATATAACAATAATATGATAATAAGGAAAAACAAAATATTAAAGATGATAATGAAATAAAAACAATAATATGACAAAATAATGATGATGATAATATAATAATAATATAATGACAAAACAATAATGATGATGGTGACAATAATAACAATGATAATAGTATAACAATAATACAACAAAATAATAATAAAATAATGTAATAACAATAATATATTGACAAAATGTTGATGATAATATAACAACAACATAATAACAAAACAATAATGATGGTGGTGATAGTTATAATAATAATGATGATGAATTTTGGGTAAAATGACTAGAGAAAGATAGGTCTATTACTAAGAAAATTAGACAATAGGGGATAATTTATCAGCAGGAGGATAGACAGAGAAGTTGTTGAGAACTAGGGATGATTTCTAAAATCTATGTATTACCTCTGCGCTTGCCAACCAGGACTGCCCCGAATGAAGGATGGAAGAGATGCAGGAAATGATGGAGCGAAAGGAAAGAAAAGACAAGAGAGACTCAGCATCAGACAAACACGGAAGGCCGAGACCCAGACACAGGAATGAATGGGGGACCCCAACAGAGAAAGGGTGAAGGTAATAGCAGAAAAGGAAGGCACAGCGGCCCAACAAGGATGGGTTCTATGGGAATGTGTATCTGAAGGCACAAAGCTCAGCGCAGCTCCTACAAAGCCACCAAAGCCCATTTCCAGCTTCCAGGCCCTTCCAAAGAGGGCCAAAAATGGCCGGAATGGAAAGAAAGGGAAAACGAGAGAGAGGAAAAGAAGGGACGAAGGGAAGGGAAGATGGGAGGGAAAGAGGGGTAAGGAGAGAGACAAGGTGAGGAAGAAGGAAAGAGGCAAAAGGGGGAGGAAAAGAGGGAAGGGAAAGAAAAGAAAGGAAAGAAAGAAAAGGGGAAGGAAGAGAGGGAGGGAAAGGGAAAGCAAAAGGAAAGGAAAGAAAGGGAGGGAGGGAGGAAGGGGGAAGGAAGAGAAGGGATAGGGAGGAGGGGAAGAAGGAGAAAGGAAGAAAGGAAGGAAGGAGGAAGGTAGAAGGAAGGAAAGAAAGGAAAGGGAGAGGGGGAGGAGGAGGAGGAGGAAGGAAAAGAGAGAAAGGGAGGAAAGAGAAGGGAGGAAGGGAAAGAAGGAAGAAGATGAAGGAAGGAAAGAAAGAGAAGGGGGAGAAAGAGGGAGGAAAAGAAAGCAAAAAGGAAAGGAAAGGAAAGGAAAGGAAGAGAAGGAAGGAAGGAGGAAAGAGAAGGAAGGAGGAGGAAGGAAGGAAGAAGGAAGGAAGGAAGGAAGGAAAAAAGGAAGGAAGGAAGGAAGAAAGGAGGAAGGAAGGGGAGAAGGGAAGGAAAGAAAAGGAAGGAAGAGAAGGAAGGAAAGAGAAAGGGAAGGAAGGATGGAGAGAAAGAGAAAGCAAAAGAGAAAGAAGAGAAAGGGGGAGGGAAGGAAGAAGGAAGGAAGAAGAGAAGGAAGAGAGGTAAAGGAAAAGGGGAAGAAGGAAGGGAAGAAAGGGAAAAAGGAGGAGAAAGGAGGAGGAAGGAAGGAAAGAAGGAAGGGAAGAAGGAAGGAAAGAGGAGGGGAAGGAAGAGAGAGGGGGAATGAAGGAAGAAGGGAAAGAAAGAGAAGGGAGGGAAGAGAGGAAGAGAAGGAAAAAGGGGAGAAGGAAGAAGAAAGAGGAAAGAAAAGAAAGAAAGAAAGAAAAAGAAAGAAAGAAAGAAAGAAAGAAAGAAAGAAAGAAAATGGGAAAAGAAAGGGCGAAAGCTTTATTAAGGGAAAAAAGAAAGAAAACAAGGACAGGTGAATAAGCGGATGAAGGCAAGGAGAAAGAAAGGGAAGAAAAGGAGGGGAAAGGAAGGGAGGTAAGGAAAGAAAGAAATGTAGAGAAGGAAAAAGGAGGAAGAGGGGAAGGAAGGAAGAGAATGGATAAGGAAAGAAAAAGAAGGGAAGAGAAAGGATGGGTGGAAGAAAAAAAGGGGAAGAGAAAGAAATTAGGAAGGTGTAGGAGGGAAAGTAAAGGAAGGAGGAAAGAGAGGCAGAAGGGAGAGGGAGGGATGAAAGGACCACAAAGAAAAGGCAAAACGAAAGCTGGGCATCTATGCTTAGAGATATCTATCTATCTATCATCTATCTATCTAGAGTGATCTATCTATCTATCTACCTATCTACCTTCAGCTGGATAGGAGAGCTCCCAATGGGGAGTGAATATCTCCCTTAGGTCCCTGAGGAAGGTGTCCGCACTGAGCTCGCTCCCAATTGCTTCTGGTTTAGCGCCGGTTGTTTCCTGGGTGGCTGGAAGAGAGGAAGCGGAAGGTGGGAAGAAGGGGGCAGGACCCCCAAAAAGGGAAGAAGAGGTGCGACGAGTGGATTGGATCAAACTGAACAACTGCAGTCTGGCTATGGCTGAAGGCACAATCCTAAGAAGACTGAGGCCTAAAACTGCATCATGGAGGACATGAAAAGTGCGGATGGGGGAAAAAGCTGTTGACACAACCGATCTGGTGTAAACAACCTGTTGACATGGTCAGAGACGAAGTTAGGGAAGTCAAACACAATGGGAGGAAAAGCCAACATCTGTCCGGAAACTGATGGAGTTTCAGCAAGTTTTGGTTGAACAATCGATCAAGACAACAACAACAACAACAACGAATATGTTCAACATAAAGAGAAAACAAGTTGTCAATCAATCAAGAGAACAAAAACAGGGAATACATGTGACATAAAGAGACACCAAGTTGAAAACTTCTACATAAGGAGACCGTTTCCTTTTCTAAAAGTGTGTCAGAACTGTGAGGAATGCAGAGTCTTAACACCCACCTCCTTCCAAGATGGACGGAATGAAGAAGGATGGTATGAATGAGTGAATGAATGGATTATGAGGGAATGTTAAGAGTATATGTGATGATGAACTGAACAAATAATATGATAGTAATTCTATCTTCCTTTCTGGCTGAAGGAGGTTGGATTGGATGGCCTCTAGGGGTCTCTTCCAACTCTAATAATAATAATAATAATCGATAATAATAAATGGTAATAGAAAGTCATAATAATAATATAATTTCATCTTCCTCTATGGTCGAAGGGGGTTGAACTGGATGGCCCTTGGGGTCCCTTCCAACTCTATGAGTCTCATAATAATAATAGTAATAATAGTAGTAATAGTAGTAATAGTAGTAATAATAATAATAATAAGGTAAAGGTTGTCCCCTGACATTAAGTTCAGTCATGTCTGACTCTGGGGTGTGGTGCTCATCTCCATTTCTAAGCCGAAGAGCCAGCGTTGTCCATAGACATGGCATGACTGCATGGAGCACCGTTACCTTCCCGTTGGAACGGTACCTATTGATCTACTCACATTTGCATGCTTTCGAACTGCTAGGTTGGCAGAAGCTAGGGCTGACAGCGGAAGCTCACGCCGCTCCCCGGAATCGAACTTGCGACCTTTCAGTCAATAAGCTCAGCAGCTCAGCGCTTTAACGCACTGCACCACCGGGGGCTCCAATAATAATAATAATAAAAAAATATGGATGCTTGCCATAGAGGTGGGCAAAACGTCAGGAGAGAATGCTTCTGGAACATGGCCATACAGACCAGAAAACTCTCAGCAATCCAATCATAATATAATTCCATCTTCCTGCTTGGAAGAAGGATGGCTTTCAGAGTCCCAAAACTATGAGTCTAATAATAATAGTAATACTAATAATTCCATTCTCCTCCCTGGTCAAAGGGGGGTTGGACTGGATGGCCCTTGGGTTCCCTTTAAAAGCAATTGAGTCTTTGCTATAATTCCATCTTCCTTTATGGTTGAAGGGGGTTGGACTGGATGGCCCTTGGGGTTCCTTCTAAAGCAATGAGTCTAATAATAATAGTAATAATTATATAATTCTATCTTCCTTTAAGGCCTAAGTGGGTTGGATTCAATGGCCCTTGGGGTGCCCTTCTACAACCCAATCCTACCTTTCTTGGCTCCCGGCCTGGAGGCCCCAAAGAACTTCTTCACAGTGGTGACCTTCCTGGACTTTTCGTTGGTCTTCTTCTCCTCGAACTTGGAGAAGGTGAGGGGCTGGGCACCCGGCGGGGGCTGAGTGCTGCCATAGGCAGCCGCTTCCTCCTCTCGCTGGAGCCTGAAAGAGATGCACAAGGGATCAGGGCCAGCCCCAAAAGACTGGAAGGCGGACTATAAAGAGGAGGCAACTTCATAAATTTACATTTTATTCATATTGCTCACTAATTCTTTATTCTATATTTTTACACAGATGTATTTTTGTCTTATTGATAATGTTGTGTATTTTATTGTCTATGTTTTTAATTGCTTGTATTGTTGTTATTATTGCTTGTATTGTTGTGTTTGGGCTCGGCCTCATGTAAGCCTTGGGGAGATGGTAGCGGGGTACAAATAAAGTGTTATTATTATTATTATTTTAATGGTGTTGTTATTATCATTATCACTAGTAGTAGTATTGATATTGCTGGTTTTTCTCTGTCAAAGGAGATTCAAAGCAGCTCATATTATTATTATTATTATTATTGGTCCAGATGCTAGAAATAAGTGTCTCTTTAGTTACTGTGGGACATTATTATTATCATTATTAAGATTATTATTATTACTGAGGTTCCAGGGGCCAGAAATAAGCCTCTCCTTTAGTCTGGGCTTTATTATTATTGCTAATAATAATAATAATAATAATAATAAAAAATACTAATACTATTTTATCAGTTTTATACTAATTTATGCAATACTTTCTATACGAAATAAATAAATAAATAACAACATAGTAATTTATATTCCTGCCTGGAGGAGGTGGTTGGACTGGATGACCTTGGGGGTTTCCTTCCAAATCCATTGGAATATAGACTGTTTGGGAATCCAGTGGAGTCCCCTTTGTCAGAAATATTAGAAATTAATTACAAAAATGTGAGTCAAGCACTGAAAGGGTTAAAAGGATGCAATGACGCAAAAAACCTGTAGTTCAATATAAACAGATGTGCCTGTCGCTTAGTAGCCCTCAGTCTGTGAGAAGTCTCAGTGGGACATAGGCCTCAGTATGAGTAGGCTTCAGTGTTAGTTCACCTTAGTGTGAGAGAGAGGTGTCAGTATGAGTAGGCCTCAGTGTGAGTAGGCCTCAGTGTGATGTAGGCCTAAACATTAGTAGGCCTCAGTGTGTGAGAGAGGTGCCAGTATGAGTAGGCCTCAGTGGGAGAAGGCCTCAGTGTGTGAGAGAGGTGTCAGTTTGAGTAGGCCTCAGTGGGAGAAAGGCCTCAGTGTGATGTAGGCCTAAGCATTAGTAGGCCTCAGTGTTTGAGAGAGGTGTCAGTTTGAGTAAGCCTCAGTGGGAGAAGGCCTCAGTGGGAGAAAGGCCTCAGTGTGATGTAGGCCTAAGCATTAGTAGGCCTCAGTGTGTGAGAGAGGTGTCAGTATGAGTAGGCCTCAGTGGGAGAAAGGCCTCAGTGTGATGTAGATCTAAGCATTAGTAGGCCTCAGTTTAAGAAGGCCTGGTATGAAAACCTTGTGTGAGAGAAGCCCTAGGTTGAAGGCCATCGTGTGTGAAGCTTCAATGTGAAGGCTGCTGTGTGTATAAACCTACTGTGGAAACTCCTGTGTAACAGAGGCTGTGTTTATCTGCATGAGAAAGAACCCTGGCATGGAAGCAAAGAAGGAAGTATAAAGAACTGTGTTCAGGATATGGAAACACTGCTCTTGTAAATAGTGCAACCATATTATTTTACCATAAATCCTCCAATGAAAGACATAACATTGGTCTGTGTGGTTTTGCTCTTTTTGTCACTTTTGGCTGGACGGGGCTTTGTGGCGCTGGTTTACCTCTCGGCCAACTCCCAGTCCTCCTGGATCTGCTTCTGCCGAGCCTTCTGGTACTCCTCCCGCCAGCATTTGGAGCAGTAGCCCTGCCAGGCCGAGTTGCCATAGTAGCCGCAGCCTTTCTTGCAGAGCAGCTCCGACTGGTCCACGTGGATCCCACGGCGCTCCGACTTCAGGCTCATGGCGCTGTGGGGAGAGAGGAAGGCGGGCAGAGAAGTGACCCACCTGGGCTTTGCTGAACAAGGTGACGTCCGTATGGTGCAATGGGCTCCAAGGACGCAACTATGTAACACTATGATTTTTGGTTCTATCATTTTAAAAAACATGGGAAATGTTTATTAAACTGCACATACTTTTGTTTTGACATGACCTCCTGCAGCACTTTTTGCTCTAGTTTTTCATTGAATATCCCATCATCGGGTCTCAACCTATTCAATGTCACAAAAACAAATTTTCTGGAGTAGAACAGCTACTTTCAAAGTAAAGGCAGGACATTTGAACAGGAAATAACATTTTTGAACCAGGAACAGAACATTTTTCTAATTGTTACATAGTGCAATGTGTATATTACAAATAAATTAATACTGTGCTAAGGAATGCTCGGTATGGATATACACCCTGACATATAGTCACACTTATATACAAATAACATAGCTTAAATTTACTTCTAGAAAGAAATACACACACTCTTTCAACAAATTCCTACATACATATACCATGCATATTTAAAATACAGGTATATGTGCATAAGCACATAATTTACATTATATATATATACACACACACATCTATGCACATAATTTTATATAGAGACACACATACACAATTTATATATTTTTGTATTTTATATATATGTACATAAGCATACTTTATATTTTTATATTCTAAATATGTACCTAATTTATATTATTTTATATCTCTATATAAATATATGTTATATGTACATAAACCTATGATATATATATATACATACACATTATTTCTTTTTCCTTGAATTCACTTTCCAACTCCTTTTTGAGATTTATGGGGAAATTATTTGTAATCAGCAAATGGGGAGATCGGTGGTATTAATTTTTCTTCATATTTAGACCATATTCCCAATATATTTTTTAGAAAGGGCTTCTCTATTTTGTTATACCATTTCTTGTCTAGATGCCTAATTTTCCCTATAAAGAAAATATATTCTAGTTTCATATCTATGTCTTCACACTCTTCTTCTAACCATTCTAAATCTTTTTGACCCATAATCCCTTCAACAATATACCTGAACTGGTTTGCTATATAGTATAATTTTAAGTTTGGTATTCCTCGACCTCCCTTCTATACTATACATTTTATACTTGTATATATATATATATATATAGGATAGGATATACACACAAGTTATATTTATTTCTATTCATACAGAAAGATATACAGAGGCGCTTAAAGCATTCTGCCTCTCTCTCTATTTAAAGAGACACACACACATAAATACATAAAAATACATTTTCAAAAATCATTCTTCTTATTATTACTCTTACTCTTAAGCCATACCATAATACTAATCCTGAGACTTACCCTCCTGCTTTTTCCCCTATTTGTCCTCCTTCCTCCTTTCTTTATCTCTGAACCTTCCCTCAGCCTCTACTTCCTTCTCTCTTCCGCCTTCTCTAGACGCGCGTCGACGTCATGGCGTCACTTCCGCTTTCCCAAATGCCTGTCATTTCTGTTTCTAGGTCTTTTCCCACGCCGGACGACAACTCCCATGATGCTCCAGGGAGGCAGAGCCGGGCTCTACAACGTTAACTGCCGCGCAAAGGATCGTGGGGGTTGGAGTCCAATAGAGCCTAAGGCTTTTGAGAACCGCCGCCATCTTGCCGTCTCCATGGAAACGCGGCCTAGCAGGAACAGCGCAGCCTGAGACTCGCGTAGGAAAAAAAGAAAAAAGGCTCCGGGGATGGCGGAGGCGGCGTGGAACGAGGACACCGGCGTCGCCGTCTATCGCTCCCGGGACCCCATCGGCAACCTCCGCGTCCGGTGAGGCCTACCGCCATTTTAATCGCCCTTTTTCTCCCGTGAGGCCTAGTGCGGACTCCGGAGCCTTCGCTCGAGTTGGGCGACACTGTTTCTTCTGTAGCAAAACACCTCAGGGAAAAAGGGACTTCCACAACCAGAGATAGATAGATAGATAGATAGATAGATACACATATACATATACATATGAAAACAGTTTTCCATATGAAAACATATGGAAACTGAAAAAAAATTAAAATATATTTTCAAAATTTATTAATATTATTTATTATGTATATTGTATGCTATATATTATAGAATTAAAATGTAATGTATTTATAATAATAATAGTAATTTTATATATTGAAATAGATTAATTATATTTATTATATTTATTTAATAACATTTATTATTATAAATTGTATGGTATATATTATAGATTTACATTGTAATATATTAATATTTTTTATTTTATATATAAAATATGATATTTTGTAGATTTATACTGTAATATATTATTATTAATATTGTCTATAATAGGTTTCTATTGTAATATAGTAATATTATTTATATATAATATATGTGATGTATTATACATTTTTCTATATTTATAACATTATTTATATATTATGTTATATATTATACATTTATAATCTATAGTCATAATATTATATTTTACAGATTTATTTGGTAATGTATTATATTTTATATATGTTGTATATTATAGATTTATATTGTAATATATTATATATTACGTATTATGTGTTATACATATTATAATGTGTATTATATATTAAGTGTTATATATTATAGATTTATATTGTAATAAGTTAATAATATATATATGTATCATATTAATGGTTTATATACTGTAATGTATTAATAATATTATTTACTATATATTATATGTTATATAGATTAATATTATATACATTATTATATATAATATATGTTATATATTATAGATTAATATTATATTAATAGTGTTATTTATATACCTGTTATAGATGTTATATATTGTAGATTAATGTTTTAATATAATTTTTATATATTTTACATGTTATAGATTAATATTATAATATGTTAATAATATGTATGATTTATGTTGTATGCTATATTTTATATACCTATATATATAGATAGGTATATTATATATATATATACAAACACACAAACACATTATTTGTAGTAGTAGTATTATGTTGTGAGAGGTTGGCTCTTCCTGTCCTCCCTCGCAGGGTCGGCCTCCAGCGGGTGACGTCCACCAGTCTCCTCCTCCAGCAGCTCCAAGCCTCCTCCGGCCAGCAGCTCATCGGCTTGGCCACCCTTGGCCCTGTGGCAAGTGAGTGACCGCTTTGGGCTTTTGGGCCGGGACCACATTGGCCAAAGCCGCATGCTTGACCCGTCGGCCTACTCTTGTGTCTTTCAGGTGCCCCTTGTCCGGAGGAGGAGCGCGAAGAGGTCGTAGTTGGATGGCAGGAGAAGCTTTTCAGTCAGGCAAGTCTATGTCGAATGCAGAGATATTATATATATATTTATAGATACACACATACACATAAATATAATATCTATAGCCATCTATCTTTGGCTGAATGGCCATCTATTGGGAGGGTTTGGATGGAGAAACTCTTCAGCCAGGCGAGTCGAATGCATAGATATTATAAACACATACATATATATGTATAGCCATCTATCTTTGGCTGAATGGTCACGTGTTAGGAAGGTTTGGATGGAGAAGCTCTTCTGCCAGACAAGTCTATGTCAAATATTATACATACATATATGTGTGTGTGTGTATTTCTAAGTATATATGTATATATGTAAATAAATATAATCTATAGCCATCTATTTTTGGCTGGCCATCTGTCGAGAGGGTTTGGATAGTGTCTTCCTTTAAATCAGAAAGGGGTTGGGCTGGATGGTCCTTGGGATCCCTCCAACTCTATAATTCTCTGATATACATCATATATATCTCATATATCTATATCTACCTAGATATAGATATTCTGTGGCCATTTATCTGGATGGTCCTTGAGGTCCCTCCAACTGTAGGATTCTTATATATATATATATATATATATATATATATATATATATATATATCATTCATTCATTCATTCATTCATTCTATGGCTATTTATTGGCTGAATGGCTACCTGTCGGGAGGGATCGGACAGTATCTTCTGTTAAAGCAGAAGGGAGTTGGACTGGGTGACCTTTATATATAAATATACACATAAATTATAACATTGTCACAGTCACCTTTTAATATATATATATATATATATATATATATATATCCCATATATTCTCATAACATTCTGATGGCTCCTGTTTTCAATTCTATACTTATGTACACCAAAAAATTCTGCGGTCACTTCTCCTCTGTTTTCATCCTTAGCCCTTCCTTCTCCAGAGCCCCAATAATATCATTTCATTCCTTCTTCCATCCCATGTGCCCTCAGTTCGAGGTGGACCTCTACCGCAGCGCCGCGGCCTGCCAGACGCCACTTGACCGCCAGTACCACCGGGAGGTCCTGCGGCTGGAGGAGACCCGTGGGAGAAGCAACACCCGCATCTTCACCTACACGGATCACGACCGCTTCACCAACCTGGAGGAGGTATGGTGCCCGTCTCATCTATGGGGAGCCCTGAGAGAGGAAAGCCGGGTCCGTGAGCCTTCTTCCTCTTGCCTTGCAGCATTGCCAGAAGGTGACCACGGCGGCCGAGGAAAAACCCTCCTACCTGGCCGAGCGCATGGCCAATGTCCGGAGGAGGCGGCAGGAGCGCCGGCCCAGGTCGGCCCAAAAGCCTTCGTTATTTCTCTCTTCTTCTTCTCTTCTTCCTACTGGCTCTTTCTTTGCCTCCCTCCTCCTCTTCTTTTTCTTTCTCCCTTCCTTCCTTCCTTTCCCTTCCTTTCTTTCCTTCTTCCCTCCCTCCCCTTCTTTTCTTTCTTCCCTCTCTCCTTCTTTCTTCTTCCTTTCTCCCTTTCCTTTTATCCTTCCTTCCTTCTCTCATTCTTCTTTCCTTTCCTTTCTTTTCCCTTTCTTTTTTCCACCTCCTTTCTTCCTTCCTTCCTTCCATCTCCTTCTCTTCCTTCCTTCCTTCCTTCCTTCCTTCCTTCCTTCCTTTCTTCCTTTTTCCCTCCTTCCTTTTCCTTCCCTCCTTTTCTCTTTCTTTCCTCCTTCCTATTTCTCCTCCTTCCTCTCTTCTTTCCTTCCTTTTCTTTCTCCCTCCCACCCTTCTTTCTTCCTTCCCTCCTTCTTCTCCCCCCCTCTCTCTCCTTTTCTTTCCTTCCCCCTTCCTTCTCTTCCTTCATTCCTTCCTTTCTTCTCTCTTCCTCCTTCCCTTCCTCTTTTTTTCACTCCCTTCTTTTCTTCTTGCCCATCCTTCTCTCTTTTTTCTTCTTTCTTTCCTTCCTCCTTTCCATTCCTTCCCTCCCCTTCCTCTTTTCTTTCCCCTCCCTCCTCCTTCCTTTTCTTTTCTTCTTTCCTCCTTTTTCCCTCTCCTCCTCCCTTTCCTTCCCCTCCCCTTTCCTTCCTTCCTTCCTTCTTCCTATTTATTATTTATTTATTTATTTATTTACTGCATTTATTGACCGCCGCTCTCAGCCCTAGGGCGACTCGCGGCGGTGCACAACATATAAAAACAGTTTACAAAAGGGCAAAACAGGAAATCAATACAACAATAATACACTATAATCTAGTTACACTAAATAATCCGCTCCGTCACATCATAGAATCATAACCAATATCGTAATCCGTATTCCGTTCCAGTTGTCAATTACCAGTTGCCGTAGCGCTCAGTTGAATGCCTTCTCAAATAGCCAGGTCTTCAGGCTCTTACGGAAGGACAGAAGGGAAGGCGCCTGTCTGATGTCAGCAGGGAGGTCGTTCCACAGCCGGGGGGCCACCACCGAGAAGGCCCTTTCTCTCGTCCCCGCCAGACGTTCCTTCCTTCCTTCCTTCCCTTCATCCTTCCCCGCTTCCTTCTTTCCTTTTTGCCCTGCCCAGCCAACCCCTTATCTTTTGCTTCTTCCTCCCTTTCCTTCTCACTCCTCTCCTTCCTTCCTCCTTCCCCCTCTCCTTCCTTCCTTCCTCCCCTTCTCCCTTCCTTCCTTCCTTCCTTCTTCCTTCCTTCCTCCTTCCTTCCTTCCTTTCCTTCCTTTCCTTCCTCCCCTTCCCCTCCCCTTCCTTCTTTCCTTTACTCCTTCCTCCTTCTTCTTCTTTCTTTATTCCTTTGTTTTCCTTCTCCTTCCCTCCTTTCCTTTCCTTTCCTTTCCTACCTTCACTTTCCCATTCCTTTCCTCCTTCTCTCTCTCTCTTTCCTTCCTCCTTCCCTTCCTTTCCTTCCTTGCCTATCTCTCTCCTCTTCCTCCGCAGGGAAGGGCCCGGCCTGAAGTCCCGGATCGTGACCTGGGAGCCTTCAGAGGAGTTTGTCAAGAGCAGCCACGTCCTCAACACTCCCCTCCAGACCATGTACATCATGGCCGACCTGGGGCCCCCTGGCAAGTGAGTGAGTCCTGCTCCCAAGAGCCTTTCCTGTCGGGCCAAAGTGCTGCCCTAATAATAATAGATAACCATGCCTGGCAGAAGGGAGTCAGTCTGAATGACCAACTGAGTCCAGTAATACATCACACAGTCCTAGACGCTTGTAATTCAACTTGTAATTTTGTGATACGAAATCCAGCATATAAATCTCGTTTGCTGTGACATACTGTGTTTTTGTGTCAGTAAAACAATAATAATAATAATAGTTGTTTTTGTTGTTGTTATTATTATATAGTAATCCTGTCTTCCTTTATTGCAGAATGGGGTCAGACTGGATGTCCTTTGGGGCCCCTTCCAACTGAGTCCAATAATAATAATAATAATAATAATAATTAATAAATAAATAAATAATAATAATAATAATAATAATAATATATCACACAGTCCTAGACGCTTGGGAAATGTTCAGCATATAGATCTTGTTTGATGTGACATACTGTGTTTTTGTGTCAATAATAATAATAATAGATAACAGTGTATAGTAATATAATACCAATTTCCTTGCAACCTCTCAGCCCAGCAAGAACTGCGACGCTGCGGCAACGAAGGCTGACGCTAACAGGTTTTTCCCTTTGCACAGACTGGGCCTCCGGGAGAATGAGCACGTCCTGTGCACTCTCCAGGTGGATGGCAATGGGGTGCTCAGCGTCAGACCGGACTTCACAGGGAGCAAAGGGCCCTACAGGTGAGCAGCAGCCAGAGGGAGAGGCGGGGTCACACCTGAGCACCTGTCTGCACCCTCCTCCTCCTCCTTCTCTTCCCTGTTTCCCTGCCAAGGATGTTGATATACTCATCTCTGGAATGGGAAGATGCAGGGCATGCTGTGCGTGAACCATATCTTGTGACCCACACCATTGACGGTTCAAGACCAAACTTTGAACACAGAGCCCCCATGATGCATTTAATGTCCTGTTGTGGTTAGGGGGAAGACGGACCATGGATGATGGGATATGCAGTACTTTCACTCACTTCCTGCGAAAAATGCAATCCTCACCAATGATGGATCAAGACCACACTTGGCACACAGAGCCCCCGTGACCCACTTTACTTCCTGGTGCAGTTTGGGGGACTACGGACCTTGGATGATGGGACTTGCAGTACCTTCACTCACTTCCTGAGATCACTGCGACCCTCACCAATGATGGATCAAGACCACACTTGGCACACAGAGCCCCTGTGACCCACTTTATGTCCTGTTGTAGTTAGGGGGAGGACAGACCATGGATGATGGGAGTTGCAGTATCTTCACTCACTTCCTAAGACCTCTGCGACCCTCACAATGATGGATCAAGACCAAGCTTGGCACACAGAGCCCCTGTTACCCGCTTTACTTCCTGGTGCAGTTTGGAGGACTACAGACCATGGATGGGACTGCTGCCTTGGATGGGACTTGTAGTACCTTCACTCACTTCCTGAGATCACCGCGACCCTCACCAATGATGGATCAAGACCGCACTTGGCAGACAGAGCCCCCCGTGACCTGCTTTATGTCCTGGCGCAGTTTGGGGGACTACAGACCATGAATGATGGAATATGCAGTACCTTCTCTATTCATGTGAAAGGGTGTCATAAGGAAGAGGGAGCAGGCTTGTTGTTTTCTGCTGCCTTGGAGATTAGGACTCCATTGGTTCAGATGACAGGGAAGGAGATTCCACTGAACATGAGGAAGAATTTATTAGACCTGCTCATCAGTGGAACTCTCTGCCTCGGAGTCTGGCAGAGGCTCCTTCCTTGGAATCTTTTAAACAGAAGCTAGATGGCCATCTGTCAGGGATGCTTTGATTGTGTTTTCCCTTCAGGGCAGGGGGTTGGACTAGTCTCTATGATCCTATGATTCATCCTCATCCTTATCTCTGTCTCCCTGCCAAGGATCGAGTTGGAAGGGGAGAAGCGGGAAGTGTGGAGCGTCACCCTGCAGAATGCCTCTCCGCAAGTGGAGCACGAAGACGAGGCCCGGGAGCAGCGCGTCTTCAAGGACGTCCGTGCTGGCGGGATAACCATTATTATTATTATTATTATTATTATTATTATTATTATTATTAGATACATAACAAGATTAGTACGCAGCAAACAAGATCACTGTGCTATCACTATCTGTTTGTGGCATCACTAGTAATGTTAACCTAGCATCCAGGGTGATGTTTAGTCCTATAAAGTTACCTATTTCCTGAAATAATGCAATGCTTTGACTCAGTTTGAAGCCTGATCTTTCTTCTTTCTGCTTTATCCCTCAGCTGTACAGCCGGCACAAGGAGTATCTCTCCGGACTGGTGGGCTCCGACTTCGAAATGGTGAGTGGCCTTTTCCAAAAGCCTTTGGGAAAATAAGGTTGACTGGCCATCTGTCGGGAGGGCTTTGAATGGAAGGGTTGGACTGGATGTCTTTTAGGGGCCCCTCCCAACTCTAGCAGTAGAATAATAATAATAATAATAATAATAATAATAATAATAATAATAATAATGTAAAATAGAAGCGGGTTGGACTGGATGGCCTTTAGAGGTCCCTTCTTTGATTGTAATAATAATAATAATAATAATAATAATAATAGTAATAATAATAATAATAATAAATAATAACAGAAAAAGGAAAAAGGAAAAGGACAGCAGTACCAAGAGCAGCATTATCCACCAAGGCATTCGCTGAGTCCTGTTCAACCCTCTTACAAGCTATTGCTTTAGTACAGAATTTTAAACTATTAATATTTTTTATAATTATAAATATAATAGTAATTTTATATGGTAGGAGACTGGACTGGATGGCCTTCGGAGGTCCCTTCTGACTATGATTCTAATAATAATAATAATAATAATAATAATAATATAATTCTGTCTTACTGCCTGGCAGAAAGGGATTGGACTGGATGGCCTTTAGAGGTCCCTTCTTTGATTGTAATAATAAAAATAATAATAGTAATAGATAATAAATAATAATAACAGATCATGACATAATAGTAATTCTATATGGTAAGAGACTGGACTGGATGGCCTTCGGAGGTCCCTCCTGACTATGATTCTAATAATAATAATAATAATAATAATAATAATAATAATAATAGATAATAACAGGTCATGATATAATAGTAATTTTATATAGTAGGAGACTGGACAGGATGGCCTTTGGAGATCTCTTCTAACTATGATAATAATAATAATAAAGGTCCACGAGGACCTTGAGATCGTCTGGGGAGGCCCTTCTCTCGATCCCGCCTGCTTCACAGGCACGTCTGGCGGGGACGAGAGAAAGGGCCTTCTCGGTGGTGGCCCCCCGGCTGTGGAACGACCTCCCTGCTGACATCAGACAGGCGCCCTCCCTTCTGTCCTTCCGTAAGAGCCTGAAGACCTGGCTATTTGAGAAGGCATTCAACTGAGTGCTACGGCAACTGGTAATTGACAACTGGAACGGAATACGGATTACGATATTGGTTATGATTCTATGATGTGACGGAGCGGATTATTTAGTGTAACTAGATTATAGTGTATTATTGTTGTATTGATTTCCTGTTTTGCCCTTTTGTAAACTGTTTTTTATATGTTGTGCACCGCCGCGAGTCGCCCTAGGGCTGAGAGCGGCGGTCAATAAATGCAGTAAATAAATAAATAAATAAATAAATAATAATAAATAATGGATCATAATATAATAGTAATTCTATCTTCTTATATGGCAGGAAGCTGGACTTGATGACCTTTAGAGGTCTTTTTTTGACTCTGTGTTTTGAATAATCTATATACCGTAAATAAAAATGTAATGTTAGTTTGTGGGATTAACATAATTCAAAAAACACTGGACGAATTGACACCAAGTTTGGACACAAGACACCTATCAGACCAACGAGTGACCATCACTCATAAAAACACTGAAAAACACAGCGGAAGGGACTTCAGAAGCCAAAAAAACAAAGAATACATTACAACGCATGCGCAAAACCACACAACACACACATATATGCAAACACACATATACACAAATATACACACACAAAACACATGTACACAGACTGGGCCATAACTTCCAACAGTGTGATCGGCACACTGGGTGCAGTGCCTAAAGACCTTGGCCTGCACTTAAAAACAATCGGCACTGACAAATTTTACCACCTGTCAGCTGCAAAAGGCCACCCTACTCTGATCTGCATGCATTATTCGCCAATACATCACATATTTGGATGTCGGACATTTGGGAAGTCTAATCTTGATGTGCATCTAATAATAATAATAATAATAATAATAATAATAATAATAATAATGTAATTCTATCTTCCTTTATGATAGAAGGGGGTTGGACTGGATGGCCTTTTGGGGATCCCTTCTAACTCTAGGAGTCTGTCCCTCATAGAGATCACTGGCCTGAGAGCCTATTATTGTTATTATTATTATTAGTGTCCCATGTTCCTTGCCATTGAGTGGCCTCCCTTCTCTCTTCCCCTCGCAGACGGTTCCTGGCGCTCTCCGGCTCTTTGTGAACGGTGAGATTGGTAAGTGATCCTCTTGCTCCAATTTGTGGGAAAATAAGGAGAAAAGGGGGTCCCAGTCCCGCAATGGGAGCTTCAGTGCTTTCTTGTTTCTCCCAGTTTCGGCCCAAGGCTATGAATACGACCACCTCTACATCCACTTCTTCCTGGAGCTGCCCAGCGGTGAGTGAAGGCGGGTGGAGGCCTTCGGGATTATTTGGGGTCAATGGGGAGCAGCCTGACAAGGAGGGAGGGGGTGTCTTCCAACCCTATGCATTTTATTATTATTATTATTATTATTTCATTATTATTATTATTATTATTATTATTATTATTATTATATTTTAAACATTTGTACCCTGCCCTTCTCAACCCCGGAGGGGGGTTAATATTATTATAATATTAAATAACAATTATATAATAATAATAATAATAATAATAATAATATAGTAATTCTGTCTTCCTGCTTAGCAGAAGGGGTTTGGACTGAATAATAATAAGTAAAGGTAAAGATGTCCCCTGACATTAAGCTTAGTCGTGTCTGACTTTGGGACTCTGGTGCTCATCTCCATTTCTAAGCCAAAGAGCCGGCATTGTTCATAGACACCTCCAAGGCCATGTGGCCAGCATGACTGCATGGAGAGCCGTTACCTTCCCGCAGAAGCTGTACCTATTGATCTACTCACATTTGCATGTTTTCAAACAGTTAGGTTGGCAGAAGCTGGGGCTAACAGAGGGAGCTCACCCCACTCCCCAAATTCGAAGCAGCAGCTCAGCGGTTTAACCCATTGCACCACCAGGATTATTATTATAATTCTATAATAATAATAATAATAATAATAATAATAATAATAATAATAATATAATTCTATCTTCCTACCTGGCAGAAGGGTATTGGACTGAATTATTATTATTATGTCTTCCTACCTGGCAGAAGGGAGTTGGACTGAATTATTGTTGTTGCTGTTCTTGTTGTTGTGTCTTCCAACCTGGCAAAAGGGGGTTGGACTGAATGGTCCTTGGTGTCTATTATTATTATTATTATTATTATTATTATTATTATTATTATTAAATTTCTCTTCCTCCTTGGCAGAAAGGGGTCGGACTGGATGACCTTTGGGATACCTTCCAAGTCTAGGATTCTATGATATATCTGTCTCTGTCTGTCTCTCTAATATCTACATGGCCATTTGTCGGGAGGGATCAGGTTGTGCCTTCCCAATCTGTGAGTGTGATCACCATTGCTTCCTCTTAGGCTGGTCCTGCCCGCCATCGCAGCCGCTCTCCGGAGTCACCCAAACCTGCACCACCAAGACCTGTGGATGGGTAGGTAGAGCTCCATAAGGCTCAGCATGACAATCGAGTCAATGCAATTCTAATAATCACAGATATTCATAGTAATAGATATTAATAATTAATTCTGTCCTTTAATAGCAGAATGGGGCTGGATAGAATGGCCCTTTGGGATCCCTTCCAACTCTAGAATTCTATTACTATATTAATTGTTGTTGTTGTTGTTGTTGTTGTTAGACTACTAGAGTTGGAATAACAGCAACAACAACAACAACAATGTAATAATAATAATAGAATCTTCCTGCCTGGCAGAAGGGGATTGGACTGGATGGTCCCATGGGATCCCTTCCAACAACAACAACAATGTAATTCTATTGTCCTTTATGATAGAAAAGGGTTGGACTGGATGGCCTTTGGGATCCCTTCCAACTCTAAAGTTTTTATTATTATTATTATTATTATTATTATTATTATTATTATTATTAGACTATTAGAGTTGGAATAATAAAAACAGGAACAATAATAATGTAATAATAATAATAATAATAATAATAATAATAATAATAATAATAATAATAATAATAGAATCTTCCTTGCCTGGTGGAGGGGGGTGGACTGGGTGGTCCCTTGGGGTCCTTTCCATGCTGGGCTTGTCTTATCCCCACTGCCTTTCATTATCTGCTAATAATAATAATAATCATCATCATCTCCAGAATCTGACTTGTGGGGTTTCCTTTTTTCTCCAGGAGCAGGTGGCCTTCTTCTCCTTCCCATTCACCCTGGAAGTCTTCTTCAGCCAGGAGGAAGAGGCCGAAGGTGAGTCATGGCAATGGAAGGGTTGCCCGGGCATCCCCTGGGCAACGTCCTTGCAGACGGCCAATTCTCTCACACCAGAACCAACTTGCAGGTTCTCAAGTTATATTATAAAAATATAATAATGATAACAATAGTAAGATATTATAATAATATATTATTATTATAAAAATACAATAATAATAATTGTAATGTAAAATGATTATGATATTGTAATATAATAGTAATATATTATTATAAAATATAATGGTAATAATTGTAATGTAGAAGAAGAAGAAGAAGAAGTATTGTAATATAATGATGATGATGATGTTCCCTGCCTTTCCCTGTGGCTCTCCACATTTTTTTTTTTTTTTTTTTGGCCTCAACGCTTTTCCCTTTTATTCCCAGGATCGCTTTCTCAATGGCCGGTCCTGTACTTTGAGGTTCTCTCCTTAGACTTCTGGCAGCGGTCGCGGGTCGAAGGCTACGGTTTTGTGGCTTTGCCGACCACGCCAGGTAACAAGGGACTCGGCGCTTTGATGGTGCAGCCTCTGAGTCGCCTTTGCGTGGCTCTGGAGGGATAGAGTTGGCTTGCCTTTCTCCCCACAGGGTCCCACACCGTGAGCGCCTCCACCTGGCGCCCTGTCGAGCTGGGCCCTCGGGCGGAGCTGCAGCGCTTCTTTGTTGGGGGGTCGCCCGAGTTGGAGGACCTGACCTACAGCCGTCTGCCAGGCACCTTCACGGTGAGTCGTTCCTCCCCCCCCCAAAATAGCCAGCCTCAAAGCCCTTCAGGTACCTTCACGTTGGGTGGACGGGCCCTACAAGTCATAGGAGGGACTTCCCTTGACCTCCCTGGACTTCCTTTGATGTCCCAGGACATCTCTGATCTTCCCTTGACTTGCTTTAATCTCCCTGGACTTCCTTTTACTTCACTTGACTTCCTTTGGCTCCTCTGGACTTCCCTTGACTTCCCTCGACTTCCCTTGACTTTCTTTGACCTCTCAGGACGTCTCTGAACTTCTTATGACCTCTCAGGACTTCCTTTGACCTTTTTGAACTGCCTTTGACCTTCCCTGACCTCCTAGGACTTCTCTGAATTTCCCTTCACCCTTGACTTCCTTTGACTTTCCTAAACTTCCCTTGACTTTCCTGAACTTTCCTCAAATTCCTTTGAACTTCCCTTGACTTTCTTTGACCTCTGAGGACATCTCTGAACTTCCTTTGGCTTCTTTGGACTTCTCTTGATCTCTCGGGACTACCCTTGATTTTCCTGAACTGCTCTCGACTTCCTTCAACATCCTAGGACTTCTCTGAACTTCCCTTGACCTCTCAGGATGTCTCTGGACTTCTTTTGGCTTGTTTTGATCTCCCTGGACTTCCCTTTACTTTGCTTAATTTCCTTTGGCTTCTCTGGACTTCCCTTGACCTCCTTTGACTTCCCTCGACTTCCTTTGACCTCCTTTGACTTCCTTTGGTCTCCCTGGACCTTCCTTGGACTTCTCTCCACTTCCTTTGATTTTCATGGACCTTCCTCAACTTCCCTTGGCTTCCTTTGACTTTCCTCAACTTCCTTGGACTTCTCTTATCTTCTCTTGACTTCCCTTGACCTCCTTTGACTTCCTTTGTCCTCTCTTGACTTCCCTTGGCTTCCTTTGACATCTCTTGACCTCCCTGGACTATCCTTGACTTCCTTTGACTTCCCTCAACTTCCTTGGACTTCTCTTGACTTCCCTTGACCTCCTTTGACTTCCCTTGACTTCCCTGGACTTCCTGTGACTTTCCTTGATTTCCTTGGCCTTCCCTGGGCTTCCTCTGTCCCAGCCCTCCTGACCATTTCCCCTCTCCTTCCAGGGTGACCGGCTCAGCCGCTTCGGCTTCCGCACCAAGACGACAGGCAGCGTCTCCTTCCGCCTTCACTGCCTCCAGCAGTCCAAGTGAGTGGAAAGAAGGGCAACCTCACTTCGGGGAAGAAGGGCCCCTTTGGGCGCCATTAGGAGAGTCCCGACACTGGTCAGAGTCTTTATCAAGGGCTTGGAGGGAGTTTTAGGGGGCCTCCTCATCAAGAGTGCAGGTGGGAACCAAATGGGGAATCTTCTGATAGCTCAGAAGACAGGATCGAAATCTCCTTCACAGATGAGAGAGCTGATCAGCCAAAACTAACACAATAGATATCCACAAGGAGAAATGTATGGAAGAATCCCTTCCAACTCTAATAATCATCATCATCATCATCATCATCATCATCTGCACGCATTTATTCGCCAATACATCACATAGTCCTAGACTATAGATCACATCCTCAGCTGCTGCAAGAAGATCACGCAGACAGACTACAAGCAGAGGCATAACACTATTGCTCAGATGATTCATTGGAACTTGTGCCACAAAAGACCATCTGCCTGTGACAAAGAACTAGTTTAAGTGCCGGCCAAGGTTTCTAGGGACTGCACCCATTATTGTTGTTGTTGTTGTTGTTATTTGAAACACAACAAGATGAGTACACAGCAAACAAGATCACTCTGCTGGCTGTTGTATTGGATCACACATTCATTTTCTGTAACTTTTTCAGGCTTGTGATCTAATACAACAGCCAGCAGAGTGATCTTGTTTACTGTGTACTCATCTTGTTGTGTTTCAAATAACAACAACAACAACAACAACAACAATAATAATGGGTGCAGTGCCTAGAGACCTTGGCCTGCACCTAAACACAATTGATAATATTGATAAATAATTATGATAACAACAACAACAATAATACATCACACAGTCCTAGATGCTTGGGAAGTGTTCGACTTGTGATTTTGTGATACGAAATCCAGCATATAGATCGCATTTGCTGTGACATACTGTGCTTTTGTGTCAATAATAATAATAATAATAATAAAGGTTGAACTGCAAAGGCTCTGGCACAAGCCAGTCAAGGTGGTCCCAGTGGTGATCGGCACACTGGGTGCAGTGCCTAAAGACCTTGGCCTGCACTTAAACACAATGGCGCTGACAAGATTACCATCTGCCAGTTGCAGAAGGCCACCTTACTGGGATCTGCACGCATTATGTGCTGATACATCACACAATCCTAGACATTTGGGAAGGGTCTGACGTGTGATCCAATACAACAACCAGCAGAGTGATCTTGTTTGCTGTGGACTCATCTTGTGTTTTAAATAACAATAATAGTAATAATAATAATTATTATTATAATGGGTGCAGTGCCTCAAGACCTTGGTCTGCACTTAAACACAATCGGAGCTGACAAAATTACCATCTGGGTCCAATGTGTGATCTCGTACAACAGCCAGCAGAGTGATCTTGTTTGCTGTGCACCAGTCTTGTTGTGTATCAAATAATAATATTCCTTCTTCCGGCTTGGCAGAAGGGGGTTGGACTGGATGGCCTTTGAGGGTCTGTAGGCGAGATGCTTGTGTGTTCTTAAGATGGAAAGCATACGTCTGTGTTTCAGATGGATTAGGATCAGCTGGTTTCCCCCTGTAATAGGCAGTAAGAGTGCCTCAAGCTTCGGAGAGCTTCTGTTCAACCATTTCAAAGCTCCCTGCTTGAGCTGTGATGGCGCGATTGTCAGCATAGATGAAACTCTCTGTCCCTTCTGGGCGGACATGAGAGAAGCCTCCCCACAGGATTGAACACATCCAGGCATCCCCTGGGCAACGTCTTTATAGATGGCTGATTCTCTCACACCAGAAGCAACCAAAAGCGACTTGCAGCATAATAATGATGATGATGATGATGGTGTAATAATAATAATAATAATAATAATTCTATCTTCCTGCCTGGTAGAAGGTGGGTTGAACTAGATAGCCTTTGGCGGTTCCTTCCAACTGTATGAGTCTAATGATGATGATGATGATGATGGAAATCTATCTCCCTTTTTGGGGTTGGACTAGATAGCCCTTGCTATCCCTCCCAACTCCAGGCTTCCGTGCTTCTATGAGCCTTGTTTTCCCCCTTTGCAGGGCCTTCCTGGACTCCAGCTCCATGAGGAAACGCATGCAGAGCGTTCTGGACCGGCTGGGCGGCTGGGGTCAGCAGGGCTCCCTCTACGGCGTCCTGGGTGAGGACAGGAGAGAGGGGAGGGGCCCTAGAGTTGGCAGGGGGCCCCCAAAGGCCATCCAGTCCATCCCCTGTTGGATTTCCCTTTGGGTTCCCTTTGGATCAGGCATGGGCCGGAGCCCCCAGTGCCTTGTGCCAGCAGGACCGGACCGACAGGTCGGAGGTTCGAATCCAGGGAGAGCATGGATGAGCTCCCTCTGTCAGCTCCAGCTCCCCATTTGGGGACATGAGAGAAGCCTCCCACTAGGATGGTCAAACATCAAAACATCCGGGCAATGTCCCCTGGGCAACGTCCTTGCAGACGGCCAATTCTCTCACACCAGAAGTGACTTGGAGTTTTTCAAGTCACCCCTGACACACACAAAAAGGCATGGGCCAATTTTGGACTTCAACTCCCACCATTCCTAACATCCAGTAGGTATCAATATAGTTATAGATAGAATTATTATTGATAGATAGCTATAGATATAGATGACTCTTGGGGTCTCCACCAACTCTAGGATTTGATCATGGATGAATAGGTAGGTAGAGAGAGAGAGAGAGAGATAAGTAGGGAGACAGACAGACAGATAGATAGGTAAGTAGACAGATAAGTAGAGAGAGTGGGAGAGATAGATAGATAGATAGATAGATAGATAGATAGGAGGAAGGGAGGGAGAGAGAAGGAAATGTTGGATAGATAGACAGACAGATAGGAAGTAGATAGATTGGATGGATGGATAGATGGATGGATAGACAGATAGGAAGTAGATAGATTGGATGGATGGATGGATGGATGGATGGATGGATGGATACAATAGATAGATGGATAGATAGATAGATAGATAGATAGAGGAAGAGAGAGAGATAGGAAATGGATAGATAGACAGACAGATAGGAAGTAGATAGATGAGATAGATAGATGAGATAGACAGATAGAAGATAGATAGATAGATGGAGGAAGATGGATAGATAGATAGATAGATAGATAGATAGATAGATAGATAGATAGATAGATAGATAGATAGGAAAGAGGGAGAAGGAAAGGATGGATGGATAAGTGGAAGGAAAGAATGGGTGAAGGGATGGAAGGAGGAAAGGATGGGTGGATAGATAGATAGGAGGGAGGGAGAAAGAGAAGGAAAGAATGGATAGGTGGATAAATAGATATGAAGAAGATAGATAGGATAGAGAGAGAGAGACAAACAAGTAGACAGGTGGGTAGGCAGATAGACACAAATAGATAGATAGATAGGTAGGTAGAGAGAGTGAGACGGATAAGTAGGTAGCTAGAGAGAGAGACAGACAGACAGACAGACACACACACACAGACAAGTAGACAGGTAGGTAGATGGATAGACATGGACAGATAGAGCCAGATAGATAAGATAGATAGATAGATAGATAGATAGATAGATAGATAGATAGATAGATAGATACACAGATAGACAGATAAGTAGATAGATAAATAGACACATAACTAAGTAGACAGACAGACAGATAAGTACTTAGGCAGAGAAGTATATAGATAAATAGATAGACAGACATATAAGTAGGTAGGTAGACAGATAAATAGATAATAGGTAGGTAGACAGAGAAGTAGGTAGACAGGCAGACATAGGTAGGTAGGTAGATAAGTAGACAGATAAGTAGGCAGACAGACAGAAGGGTAGATGTAGATAGATAGACAGGAATCTAGATAAGTAGATAGACAGATAGACACAGACAGACAAGTAGATAGGTACCGTAGGTAGGCAGGTTGGTAGATAGACAGATAAGTAGATAGATAGACAGACAGAAAGGCAGATAGATAAATAGACAGATAAGTAGGTAGATAGTACTTACTCACTTACTTAGCCGATCCCTCTTAGTCCAAGGATGATGGTCCTCCAATTGTAGTATCCTGGGGGTGGGTCTGTAGGTGACTGTGGAGCCCTATTCTTGATCTGCATCTTCTCCCACAGTGAGGGCATCGGTTTCCAGGTGGAAGGCGGTCCCAGTCGGGGTTGGCTTGACGCGCCTTTCTCTTGGCACATTTCCCTCTTTCGCTCTCTTTTGTGCCTCTTCAAATTCTACAGCACTAATGGTCACAGTTGACCTCCAACTGGAGTGCTCAAGGGCCAGGGCTTCCCAGTTGTCAGTGTCTATGCCAGAGTTTTTAAGGTTGGCTTTGAGCCCATCTTTCAATCTCTTTTCCTGCCCACCAACATTCTGTAGGTAGGTAGATAAGCAGGTAATTAGACAGACAGACACATAGATAAGTAGATAGACAGGTAGGTAGATAGACAGATAGCTAGATAAGTAGGTAAATAGATAAGTAGGTAGATAGACAGATAGGCAGACAGATATAGATAGATAAGCAGGTAGGTGGATAGACAGACAGATAGATAGATAAGTAGAAAGATAGATAGATAGACAGATCTAGATAGATAAGTAGGTAGGTAAGTAGGTAGGTAGAAAGATAGATAGATAGATAGATAGATAGATAGATAGATAGATAGATAGATAGATAGATAGATAGATTTTGAATGGGATAGATAGATAGATAGATAGATAGATAGATAGATAGATAGATAGATAGATAGAATTGGAATGGGTGTCCCTTGTCCTTTTTTGACTGGAGATTCCATTGGGTTGGTCCTTCTCCCTTTCGTTGCTGTGACTCTTTCCTTCCTTCCTTCCTTCCTTCCTTCCTTCCTTTCCTTCTTCCTTCCTTACTTCCTTGTTTTGCAGAGGCCTTCCAAAGGGCCCGTCGCCGGATGCAAGAGGCCCGGGAGAGCCTCCCGCAGGACCTGATCCGGCCTTCTTCGACTTCTTTGGCGTCGGCCCATTTGGGCGGAGGGGAGTCCTGACAGCTTCCCTTTGGGGGATGTGGACCATGGTCTTGTTGCACCTCATTGGGGAAGCAGGACATTGCGAAAGACTCTCCGTCGGCCCCTGGGCTGTCCTTTGTGAAAGCAAGACAACAACAACAACAACTGACTCTTTCCAGGTTCAAATCCAAAGGTCCATGAAAACATACCTTCTTTGATGAGACTTCCTTCGATTGTAAACAAAGGAGCTCTGTTTTGTTTTGTCTCTTTGTATATATGTTTAAAGCGATGCTCATATTACTCTGCAAGGGAATGCCGTTGTGTTATTTTTAAACAGAAATAAATTTATATTAATTTTTACGGAAGCCACTCTGGGCCATTTTTCCTCCTTCTATACTTCCTTCCTTCCTTCTTCCTTCCTTCCTTCCTTCCTTCCTTCCTTCCTTCCATGTTGTCAAGACTTTAGCGTCTTTTCCAGTCAATCACATTGTGTCCAAGATTCCACTGGATGGATGGATAGATAGGTTTTGGAATTCACCTGCTCTTCCTTCCTCCTTGCTTATTGCTACTATCCCTTCCTTCTCTCCTTCCTCTCTCCCTTCCCCTTCTTCCCTTCGTTTTCCTTTTCTCCCTCCCTCCCTCCCTCCCTCTCTGTCTTTGTCCTTCTCCTTCTCCTTCACTTTCATTCTCTCCTTCCTTCTCCTCTCTCCCTTCCCCTTCTTTTCTTCCCTTTTCCTTTCTTTCCTCCCCTTTCCTTCCTTCTTTTTTCCTTCCTCCCTTTCCTGTCCTTCTTTTTTCCTTCGCCTTCCTTCTCTCTTTCTTCTCCCCCCTCCCTCCCTCCCTCCCTCCCTCCCTCCCTCCCTCCCTCCCTCCCTCCTTTTCTCCTTTCTTCTCCTTGTCCTCCTCCTCCTTTTCCCTTCTGCTATTATTCTCTCCTTTTTCCTCCCTTCTTGCCCCTTCTTCACCTCCTTTCCCTTCTCCTTCCTCTCTCGCTTCCTTTATTCCCTCCTTCTCCTTTTTCATTCTTTCTCCTTCTCTCTTTCTTTCTTTCCTTTCCCCCTCTCCTTTCCTTTTTCTTCCTTCTCTCTCTTCTCCTCCTTTTTTTCCTTCTTCTTCTCTCCTCCCTTCTCCTCTCTCCTCTTTCCTCTTTCTCCTTCTCCTTTTCTCCTCCTTCTTCTCTCCTCCTTCTTCCTCTCTTTCCTTCTCTCCTCCTCCCTCCCTCTTCCTCCTTTCCCTCCTTTCCCTCTCCTTCCCTCCTCCTTTTCCTCCTCCTCCTCTCTCTCCTTCTCCTCCCTCCCTTTTCTTCCTTCCCCTCCTCCTTCTTTTCTTTCTCCTTCTTTCCTCTCTTCCTTTCCTTCCTTGTCCTTCTCCTTCTTTTTCCTCCTCCTTCTTTCTCTCTTTCTTCTCCTCTCTCCCTCCTTTCCTTCCTTTCTTTTCCTTCTCCTCCTTTCCTCTCTTCCTTTCCTTCCTTGTCCTTCTCCTTTTTCCATCTCCTCTTCTTCCTCCTCCCTCCTTCCTTTCCTTCCTTCCCACCTCTTTCCCTCCTTCCCTTCCTCCTCCTTTTTCTTCTCCTTCCTCCTTTCCTCCTCCCTCTCCTCTTTTGCTTCCTTTCCCTCCTTGTCCTCTTCCTTCTCCTTTCTCCTCCTCTTCCTCGCTCCGTCTTCCTCTTCCTCTCCCGCCTTTCCTGTTGCCTGGCTCCCCAAGTGAAGTCACACAGAGCCCTGGGTTCCATCCTCCATCCTGGCCTCCTCCTCTCTGGGAGACCCAAAGAAGGGCCTGGCCCTCTTCCGCTTGGATCGGGGCCACGGATCCAAGCAGTGAGTTCCATGGGATTGCAAAGTGGCCTTGATCAAAGCCTCATCGAATCAGGTTGACCCTCTGAGTCGGAGAGAATCGTGTAACACAAAGCACAACACAGGAGGAGCCTCTTCACAGAAGTCATGGCTGCCAAGGGGAACGCATCCAATACAGGTCGGTGAGGGTATCTGCCAGGAAGGATCAAATGGTGTCTTTACGGCAGAAGGGGGTTGGACTGGATGAGCTTTGGAGTCCCTTCCAACTCTAGAATTCTATGATGTACCTATCATATCTCTCGCTCTTATCTCTCTGTTTTCTGGTTTCTGCCAACCATCTCTTCCGGAAGAGACAAACCAAGAAGCAGAGGAAACAAACAGAAGGTGCGGACAACTGATGCTGAAGGCACCGGTGCTTCTGCTTCCACTCCAACCGGAAAAGGTATGCATAATAATAACATATTATACACACACACACGCACATATATATATACACTAGCCATCCCTTACCACGCATTGCTATGGCCCAGTCTGTGTATATGTGCTTTGTGTTTGTGTATGTGTGAGTGTATATTTGTGTATATGTGTATATATGTGTGTTTGCATATATCTATATAAATAAAAATGTAATGTTTGTTTGTGGGATTCACAGAACTCAAAAACCACTGGACAAATTGACACCAAATTTGGACACAAGACACCTAACAACCCAATGTATGGAAAAATGGATTTTGTCATTTGGAAGTTGTAGTTGCTGGGATTTATAGTTCACATACAATCAAAGAGCATTCTGAACCCCACAACGGTGGAATTGAACCAAACTTGGCACACAGTTCTCCCATGACCAACAGAAAATACTGGAAGGGTTTGGTGGGCAGTGTCCTTTGGTTTTGGAGTTGTAGTTCACCTACATCCAGAGATCACTGTGGACTCAAACAATGATGGATCTGGACCAAACTACACGAATACTCAATATGCCCAAATGTGAACACTGGTGGAGTTTGTGGAAAATAGAATCTTGACATTTGGGAGTTGTAGTTGCTGGGATTTATAGTTCACCTACAATCACAGAGCATTCTGAACCCCACCAACGATAGAATTGGGCCAAACCTCCCACACAGAACCCCCATGTGGGCCACAGCAACGCGTGGCAGGGGACGGCTAGTATGTATGTATATATATTTATACACACACACACACACACATATATACATTGTTATGTCAATACTGTATATTATGCTCTTATGGTTTTAAATTGTATATCGTTGATTGATTTTTATCCTTGTTGTAAACCACGTTGAGTCACCTGTTGGGCTTAGAACCTGCGGTATACAAGTAAAGTAAATAAAATAAATAAATAAATAAATAAATATGGTTTTGCACATGCATTGTAATTTTTTTGCTTTTAAAGTCTCTTCCACTGCATTTTTCAGTGTTTTTATGAGTGATGGTCACTCGTTGGCCTGCTAGGTGTCTTGTATCCAAATTTGGTGCCAATTGGTCCGGTGGTTTTTGAGTTATGTTAATCCCACAAACAAATATTTTTATTTATATAGAAAATAATTTATTATTATTAACTTATTAATTATTGTTATTATTAATAATAATAATTAATAATAATAAATATAATAGCTACTTTGAGTCATTTTTTAGAGAGAAAACCCACAGTATAAATATTATTATTAATACGAATAATAATTTTTATATTAACTAATAGATAGAATCAGGAAATGCTGGGCAGAAAGACAGTGCCCAAAACAATTTGAATTTGATTCGACGTCCAGTGGTTTTTGAGTTATGTTAATCCCACAAACATATAGATAGATAGATAGATAGATAGATAGATAGATAGATAGATAGAGATATGAGAGAGAATGGGATCTAGGAGTCTTAATAGACCAAGAGATGAACATGGAGTCAAGAGGGCGAATCAGCAGCGGAAAAGGCCAGTATGATTCTTGGCTGCATCCCTAGAAGAATAGTGTCGAAATGGGCGGAAGTGATAGAGGCCATGACTTGACTATCAGAATATAATAGGAAGGGATAGTGCGTAAATGTTGACGCCTTCCTCCGCCTCATATTCTCTCCATAGGCTTCTTCCTCTTTGCAGAAGGCGGCCATCTTTCGCTGCCTCCAAGCCTTGATGGACCACGGCCTGAAGCTGGAACCCGCCTGCGGTTGGGACGCCACTCCTTTAGGGCGTTTGGGGACAGCAGTATGGGTACGTTGGAACCCATTGGTGGTTCACATTGAAGTGCAAGGCTCCTTGGGGGAAAGGAGGGCTCTTTGCACAGGCTCAGAGGGACCCTCAAGTTTCTAACTTCCGAACATGAGCTTCTGCACTCCGACAGACTTCTATACTCAACCTCATTCAACACTCAACACACTTCTCAAATAGTCCTCAACTGATATTCCCTAACTGTCATCCTGTTTGATCCTGAACATTTTAAACTGTCGCTGAGTCAGTACCGTGACCTGCAGCCCCTCCCACTGCTTTAGTATATAGAGATAAGGAATCTGCAAATCAAACAAGGTATATACTTTAGGTTACAAAACAGACAAACATCACATAGAGAAGGCTTGAGAAGGTTGCTTCCTCCAACAAGAGGGACCCTCTTTTCAGTTGCAGCTATCTGATAGGGGCCTCTTTGCCTTGTTGACACTTTGCACATGCTCAGGGGGACCTCGGAGAAGGAAAGAAGGACCCTTTGTGCATGCTCAAACATCTTCAATTGCTTCTATCTGAGAGAGGTCTCTTTGCCTCTATAACACTTTGCACATGCTCAGAGGGACCTGGGGGAAGTAAGGAAGGGCCCTTTGCACATGCTCAGAGGGAACCCCTTGCCATCTTCAATTGCAACGATCTGATAGAGGTCCCCCCTTTGCCTTCCTGACATTTTGCACAGGCTCACAGGAACCCTCATATGTCGATTTGGACCAATCTGATAGGGCCCTCTTTGCCTTTATGACACTTTGCACATGCTCAGAGGGACCTGGGAAAAGAAGGAAGGGCACTTTGCACATGATCAGAGGGACTCTCTTTACATGTTGCATTGCGCCAATCTGATAGGTACCTCTTCGCCTCGCTGGCACTTTGCACATGCTCAGAGGGCCCTGGGAAAGGAAGGAAGGGCACTTTGCACATGCTCAGAGGGCCCTGGGAAAGGAAGGAAGGGCACTTTGCACATGCTCAGAGGGACTCTCTTGGTATGTTCCATTGCACCAATCTGATAGGGGCCTCTTCACATTGCTGGCACTTTGCACATGCTCAAAGGGCCCTGGGAAAGGAAGGAAGGGCACTTTGCACATTCTCAGAGGGACCCTCTTTACGTTTTCTAATGTACCAGCCTCTTTGCCTTCCTGAAACTTAGCACATGCTCAGAGGGTCCTGGAGAAGGAAGGAAGGAAGGGCACTTTGCACATGCTCAGAGGGAGCCTCTTTTCAATTGGAACTATCTGATAGTGGCCTCTTCACTTTCCTGACACTTTGCACATGCTCAGAGGAGCCTGGGAAAGGAAGGAAGCACACCCTGCACATGCTCAGAGGGACCCTCTTTACATATTCTAAACCACTATGCCTTCCAGACGCTTTGCAAGAGGGACCTAGGGAAGGAGGGAAGGAAGGGCCCTTTGCACATGCTCAGAGGAACTTTCTTTCCTTGTTCTTCTTCCAGGAGGAGGAGGAGGCAGCGCAGGAGCAGCGCCTGCAGGCGTGGGCCAGCAGGGCCCTTGCGCGCCTCTCCCGCCAGCACTTCCTCCCGGTCATGCGAGAGCTCCAGCGGCACCTCAGGCCCTTCGTCCAGCCAGAGGAGTTCACCCTCCGCACCCTGGGCAAGGTGGCCGCCAACAACGGTCAGTCAGAGAGGCCCCGCAGCCAGGCTGTGGCAGACAAGGCCAACACCATCCTAGCCTCCTGCATGAATAGGAGCAAGCCGTCCAATAATAATAAGAACAACAATAACAATAGATAGATAATAATGGTCCTTTCCAACTCTGTGAATCTAATAATGATAATATTAATAATAAATAGATAATAATGGATAGTAATATAATAGCAATTCTTTATGGCAGAAGGGGGGTCGGACGGAATGGCCTCTTGAGGCCAACTCTGCGAGTCTAATAATACTAATAATAATAATAATAGTAATAATTATTATTATAATTATAGTAATAGATATAATAGTAACTTTATCTTCTTTTATGGCAGAAGAAGGTTGGAATGGATGGCCCTTGGTGGTCCCTTCCATGAGTCTAATATTTATTTATTTATTTATTTATTTATTTATTTATTTATTGTGTCAGAAGTAAGTTGAGGGTACAGTTAAAATTAATTTAAAAACACAAAGTTTAAAAAAGTGACATGATGCTAAATGTCCTTTGAGCAGTAGCTGGCCACTTGGTGTGCCTCTGGTGTTGCTATCCATCCATCCATCTACTCAGCTATTTATCTATCTGTTCATCTCTATCTATAGATCCATCCATCTATTCATCTATCTACTCATTTATCTCTCTCTCTCTCTATTCACCCTTCCCTCCCTCCCTCCAACTACTCATCTATCTATCTATCTATCTATCTATCTATCTATCTATCTATCTATCTATCTATCTATCTATCTATCTAGTCATCTATCTGTCTATCTATCTACTCAGCTATCTATCTATCTATCTAGTCATCTATCTAGTCATCCATCCATCTATCTATCTACTCAGCTATCTATCTGTTCATCTCTATCTATCTATCTATCTATCTATCTATCTTTCTATTTATCTCAATTTATTGATCGATCCATCGATCTATTCATCTATCTAGTTATCTGTCTATCTATTCCTCTATCTACTCATCTATCTATTTACCTGCCTGTCTTCTTCTTCTCCGCTCAGTGCTCCAGTGCATCCCCTTCATGGGCATCACGCTGACCACTCTTCAGACGGTCACTCGTGGGATGGAGGGTGTCCGGAGGCGCCAGGCCCTTTGCCAAGGTGAGTCGCCTTTCCTTCCTTTTGGGGTGGGTCCCAGGATCTCCATGGTGTGACCTGAGCGTTGTCGTCTCCTCCGTCAGCTTTGGGGCAGATGTGCCGCGCCATCCGCATCTACCTGCGCAAGTGGGAGCGCGCCCCGTGGCCCCGCATCAGCGCCCGGCAGTTCTCGTCCTACCTCTTCCCGCTCTACGCCTGCCTCGCCCGCACCTGGCTCCCTGACACAAACCCACAGGTGGGCATCGGCGTTGCCTTGGCCTCTTCCGCTGCTGCATCACACGCTTGGCCCACCTCCCTTTCACAGGAACTGCTCTCAAGCCAAGTCTCACCCATTCTGTATACCTGCATCCCATATTTTGTGTACTCCCCATTGACATCTCTAACCCATGAAGGTCGTTTTGGATTCTGATCCTGTCTTCCTTCCTTCCTCTTCTCTATTTATTATTTCCTTCTCTTTTCTCCTTTCCTCACTTCCCTTCTTTCCCTTTCTCCTTTCTTCTCTCCTGACTTCTTCCCTTTCCCTATCATCTTGCCTTCCTTCTTCCTCCTATCCATCCCTTCCTTCTTCTTTCCTGTTCTTCATCCATCCAACCTTTCCTTCCCCCTTCCCTTTTCTTCTTCCTTTTTTCAATCATCCTTTCTTATCATTTCCTTCTCTTTCCTCTCTCCCTCTCTTCTTCCCTTCCTTTCCTTCTCTCTCCTTCCTTCCTTCCTTTCTCGTCTCCTTCTCTCCCTCCTATCCATCCTTTCTTTCTCCCCCTCTTCCTCTCTCTCCTTCCTTCTTTCCTCCTATCTGTCTATCCTTTTGGCTTCCTTCCTTCCATCTAACCATCCATCCATCCATCCACCCTTTCCTTTCTCTCTCTCTCTTCCTTCCTTCCTTCCTTCCTTCCTTTTTCCTTCCTTTTCTTCCTTCTCTCTTCTCTCCTCCCTTCCTCCTATTCATCCTTTACTTTCTCCCTCCTTCCCTTCCTCTCCTTTCCTCCTCTTTCTCCTCCCTTCTCTTATCTTCCTTTTCTCTTCCCTCCCTTCTGCTCATTCTTTCCATCTATCCCATCTATCTATCTATCTATCTATCTATCTATCTATCTATCTATCTACTCCTCCTTCCTTCCCTCCCTTCTTCTTCTTCTTCTTCCATCCATCCTCTTTCTTCTCTCCTTCCTTCCTTCTTTCCTTCCTTCCATTCTCTCTCCTCCCTCCCTCATACCCATCTTTTCCTTCTGCCTCTCTTCCCCTCTCCCTCCCCTTTCCCTCTTCCTCCTTTCCTTCTTTTCATCCTCCCTCCCTCCGTCTTATCTATCATTCTTTTTCTTTTCTCTTCCCTCCCTCCTATTCATCCTTTACTTCTCTCTCTCTCCTTCCTTCCATCTATCTATCTATCCATCCTTTCTTTCTCTATCACTTCCTCTCTCTCCTCCCTCCTTCCATCCATCAATCCATCCGTCCATCCTTTCTCTCTCTCTCTGTCCCTTCCTTCCTTCCTTTTCTCAGGTCAAGCTGTCTGCCCTGCAGGCCTTGCGCCCGGTGCTTAGCCTCCTTCTTCCTCGGAAGGAAGTCCAGGTCCAGATCCATGAGGACATCCTCCTCTTTGCGGCTCAGTACCAGAGCGGCCTGGAGCCTTTCCTTATTACTCAGGTGGGAGGCAAGTTGTTGTTGTTGTTGTTATTCTGCTCCGGACCCTTTTCTACCTTCCCTCGGTTTTTGCTGCAGATTTTGAGCCAGATCCTGGGGGCCGCCCTGGTGAACAGCATCCCCATTCCTTCAGTGCAGGTGGAGCCCCTCGTTCGGACCCTCGCCCAACAGGTAGAGCCCTTTGACCCCTGCATGGGCTGGACTGGGTGGCCTCTGGCAACCTCGGCAGTTTTTTCAAAGGCGTTCATAGCAAGGGGGACTCTCAAGGGAAATTTCCCAGATAATAAAGCTTGTTTCTCTCTCTTTTTTCCTTCCCTTTCTCCTCCCGCTCTTCCTTCCTCTTGTATCTATCTGTCCATTCATCCTTTCCCCCTTCCTTCCTCCTACCTTTCTATCTATCCATTCTTTCCTTCCCCTTTCCTTCATTCCTTCCTTCTTTTGTTCTGTCTGTTCATTCTTCCCTTCCCTATCCATCTATGCTTTCCTCCTCCCTCCCTCCCTCCCTCCTATCCATCCTTTGCCTTCTTTCCTTCTTCCTATCCATCCTTTCCTTCTCTATCTATCTATCTCCATCCTTTCCTCCCTCTTCTTTCTTTCTCCTATCCATCCTTTCCTTCTCCCTCCTTCCTGCCTATCCATCCATCTATCCATCCTTCCTTTTCTTCTCCTTCCTTCCTTCTTCTTATCTGTCTGTCTATCCATCCTTTCCTTCTCTTTCCTTTTTTCCATCTATCAATCCATCCATCCATCTATCCATCCACCATTCTTTCCTTCCACTTATCCATTCATCCACCCTTCTCTTTCCTTCTTCTTATCCACTCACCCTTTCCTTCTCTTTCCTTCCATCTGTCTATCTATCCACCCATCCCTTTCTTCTCCTTCAACCCTTTCTTTTCCTATCTGTCTATCTATCTATCCATGCATCCATCCATCCATCCACCTACCCTTTCTTTCTCTTACCTTCCACTTATGACATCCACACATCCTTTTCTTCTCCTCCCTTCCTCCCTTCCTTCCTTCCTTCCTTCCTTCCTTCCTTCTATCTATCCATCCATCCTTTGCTTCTCTTTCCTTCTTCCTGTCCATCCATCCATCCATCCACCCATCCTTTTCTCTTCTTTCTTTTCTTCTATCCATCCATCAATCTATTGTCCCTTTCCTTCTCCTTCCTTCGATCCCTCTCTCCATCCATCCATCCATCCATCCATCCATCCATCCATCCATCCTTTCCTTCTCCCTCCCTCCTATCTATCTATCCATCCACCCAACCTTTTCTTCTCCTTCCCTCCTTCCTCCTTTCCTTCCTTCCTTTCCTTCCTTCCTTCCTTCCTTCCTTCTTCCTTCCTTCTCTGTCTTCCTTCCTTCCTTCCTCCCTTCCTTTCCTCCTTCCTTCCTCTTTCCTTCATCCTTCCTTCTTCCTTCCTTCCTCCCCCCCCATTCTTTCCTTCTATCCGTCCTTCAATCTATTGCCCCTTTCCTTCTCCTTCCTTCGATCCCTCTCTCCATCCATCCATCCTTTCCTTCTCCCTCCCTCCTACCTATGTATCTATCTATCTATCCACCCACCCACCCTTTCTTCCACCTATCCATCCACCCACCCACTCATCCTTTCCTTCTCTTTCCTTCCACCTCTTTATCCGTCCACCCCTTTCTTCTTCTTCTTTCCTCCCTTCCTTCCTCAGATCTTTTCTGGAGGCCCACCTCACCGGCACCACCCGCAAGGCTCCAGCCGGGAGAACTGCAAAGGAATCTCCTGCCTCTTCTTGCAGCTGGGTACGGGCCTTGCGAGGCGGGACGCCCCCTGTGGGAAGGGCCTCCCTCCTTCCATCGAAGGTGCCCTTGCCTTGCTTTCCTCCTTCTCCGTCCCGCAGCCCGCCTTCACCCTTTGGAGCTGCTGAAGGCCTTCCAGAGGAGCCTGGAAGGAGGTCCGAGTGCCCTTCGCGTGGCCCTGCTCCGGACACTCGCCCAGATTGCCAGCGCTCAGCGTAAGGAGGCATTGGGACCCTCTAAAGGGCATCTAGTCTGGCCCAACGTGGGCCGTATCGGACTCCAATGGCTCTCTTCTAGGTCCTGAACTCTGGAGGCAACGGGCCATGTTCGTGAAGACGGTGAGAGTCCTCCTGGCCAACAGTGAGACCAAGGTAAGGGCTGGAGGGGACACTGACCCTATGGGCCAAATAATAATAATAATAAGCCATGAGTTTCCAACTGACCTCACTTGCCTAGTTTCCAACTGACCTCACAACCTCTGAGGATGCCTGCCATAGATGTGGGTGAAATGTCAGGAGAGCATGCTTCTGGATCATGGCCAGACAGCCACCCAGCATTATTAAAATAAAACAATACAATCATTGAAAAACAACCTATCTATACACAGAATTAAAGGGAAAATATGTACATGGACTGGAGTGTTCACTTACACAGACTAGCTCCTGCCTCCACAAACCGCTCTAGCTCCCACCTCTCAGGAGACACCAATGGCCCTCCCTCCAATGACATTGCAGTTTATAGTGAGCGCCATGAACACATACAAGAGCACTGCCAATGTCCTCCACAAACACGACGGCCCACCACCTAAGGAATGCTTTCATTCGGGGACCATTTCATCCTAGATTTGAGGTGTTTCCTGCATCACAGGTAGGCATCCCAGGGTTCCTGTCTCTCTCCATTGGCGTGGAATTTGCATGACCCCCCTGCTCACTGCCTCTCCCTTAATACTTATCCAAGGAAGCAATTAACTAGCATAGTCTTCATGCATATAGATGCTCAGTTTATATTAATCTTCAATTTATTTTATTATTTATTTACCTTACTTATATACCGCTGTTCTCAGCCCGAAGGCGACTCACAGCGGTTCACAACAAATACAAACAGCAAAAATTCAGTGCTACAGTATAGAAACAGTTAACAACCTAACACATTACACAATTAATAAACAGTTACTACAATACCCATTCACTGTCGTCTCGTCATCAAAAACATGTTCCAGATTCGTCATCCATTGTTCCATTCCAGTGTTCATTAACCAATCATTGCACTAATTATTCGAACTGCCTGCTCAAACAGCCAGGTCTTCATTTTTTTGCGGAATACCATTAGAGATGGTGCTAGTCTAATGTCCGTAGGAAGGGCGTTCCACAGCCGAGGAGCCACCACCGAGAAGGCCCTATCTCTCGTCCCCGCCAGCCGTGCTTGAGAAGCAGGCAGGATCGAGAGCAGGGCCTCCCCGGAAGATCTCAAAGTCCTGGTGGGTTCATTATTACATTATTATACTTATCATATTATTAAATTAGTATTATTGCATTCTTATTACCATTATTATTATTGCTATTAACATTAATTTTTTATTAAAAGATGACTGATACATCATCAGTATTATAAAATTATTATTATTATAATAATACAATTATTTTAATATTAAATTAGTATTTCATTATTATGTTTTTATTATCAAATTATTATTAAGTTACTATTAGTATTAATTTATTACATTTTTATTAAATTATGATTATTACATTATTACGATCTATATAAATTAAAATTTAATGTTAGTTTGTGGGATTAACAGAACACAAAAACCACTGGACAAATTGACACCAAATGTGGACACGATACACCTATCAGGCCAATGAGTGACCATCACTCATAAAAACACTGAAAAACACAGCGGAAAGGACTTAAAAAGCCCAAAAACAAAAAAATGCATTACGTACACAAAACCACATATATATATACACAAATACACATATATACACAAATATACACACACATATACACACACATATATACACACATAACACATATATACAGACTGGGCCACAGCAAGGTGTGGCAGGGGACGGCCAGTTAGTATAAAATTATTGTTATTGTTAAATTACTATTAGTTGTAGTATTATATTATTATTGCATCATTATTAAATTATTATTACATTATTATTAGTATGTAATTGCATATTAAATTATGATTACATTGTTGTTGTTGCATTATTATTACATTATTATAGGCTTTGGGGTTTTATATATATGTATTCTTTGATAATTATTATTTTTATTATCCAACAATATTTTTAAAACCCAAAGCCTATGAGGCTTTCATATTAAGAAGTCTATAGGCAAATTGGAGCAGAGACAGGAAAAAAGGACCTATAAAGTTTGGACTAAAACCCAGAGCGGATGCTATTCCAATGCATGGCTTCCCATTCCTTAAACAATTATTATTATTAATATTATTATATTATAATATATTATTATTATTATTATTATTATTATTATATATTAATATCCTTATTGAGATATACAGTATTGGGAGGGGTGTCCTGACCTTTGGTGACCTTTGTAAGGTCCCTCTTTGACCCCTAGGTCCGCCTGGCCATGCTCCAGGCCATCGGTCAGCTTCTACGCAGTCGATATTTGGAGAATATAGAGGGCTGGACCTTGAACTACGTCTCCCTACAACTGGCCATCTCTGCCCACCGGCTGGTAAGAAGAAGGGACTGGGATGATGGTGGTGGTGGTGGTAATGGTGATTACTATTATTATTATGAAGCAGAGGCTGGGTGGCCATCTTTTGGGAGAGATCGGATGGTACCTCCCTGCTTGACATGAATAGGGCCAGACTGGATAGCCTTTTGTGGTCCATTCCAACTCTAGGAGTCCAATAATGATAATAGATAATAGTGGATAATAATATAATAGTCTGTATTGCTTTATGGCAGAATGGGGTTGGACTAGATGACCCTTAGGGACCCTTTCCAACTTTACAAATATCATAATAATAACAATAAATGATAATAATAATAATGGATAATAATATAATAGTAATCCCGTAGTCCTTCCTGGCAGCAGGGGGTTGAGCTAGATGGCCTTTAGGGGTCCCTCCAAGCTCCTCTAAGCCCTTTCCTCCCTTTCAGACTCACCCGGCATTGAAGCTGCCTTTGGGCGGCTTGGAAGAGAAGGCCATTGAGAGAACCTGCATCGAAGTCCTCCATGTGGCTGTTTCTTCTGGGAACGGAGCCAGCCGAGTAAGTCAAGCATGATGGTGATGAATAATAATATGCAGTGCATGGATGGCCATCTGTTGGGAAGGCTTTGATAGTGTCCTTCCTGCTTGGCATGAATAGGGTTGGACTGGAGGCTCCTTCCAACTCTTTGAACCACTATTATTATTATTATTATTATTATTATTATTATTTTACTGACACAAAAACAGTATGTCACAGCAAATGAGATATATATGTTGGATTATTATTATTGTGCAGGGACTGGATGACCATCTGTCGGGAAGACTTTGATGGTATCCTTCCTGCTTGATATGAATAGGGTTGGACTAGATGGCCCTTGAGGGATCCATCCAATTAGTATTTTATTATTATTGTTATGGTGGCTATTATTATTATTATTATTATTATTATTATTATTATTAATGCAGGGGCTGGGTGATCATCTGTCGGGAAGGCTTTGATGGTATCCTTCCTGCTTGATATGAATAGGGCTGGACTAGATGGCCCTTGAGGGACCCACCCAATTAGTATTTTATTATTATTATTATGCTGATTATTATTATTATTATTAATGCAGGGGCTGGGTGACCATCTGTCGGGAAGGCTTTGATGGTATCCTTCTGCTTGATATGAATAGGGATGGACTAGATGGCCCTTGAGGGACCCATCCAATTAGTATTTTATTATTATTGTTGTTGTGGTGGTGATTATTATTATTATTATTATTATTATTATTATTATTATGCAGGGGTTGGATGGCCATCTGTCTGGAGGGCTTGGATAGTGTCCTTCCTGCTTGACATGAATGAGGTTGGACTAGATGGCCGCTAGGGGACTCTTCCAACTTGTATTCTATTATTATTATTAAGCAGAAGCTGGATGGTCATCTGTTGGGAGGGCTTTGATGGTGCCCTTCTTGCTTGATATGAATGGGGTTGGACTGGAGGGCCCATTATTATTATTATTATTATTATTATTATTATTATTAATCTTATATATAATTATTTTTGTATAATTATTTTTATTATTATTATGAAGCAGAGGTTTGATGGCCATCTGTCTGGAGAGCTTCGATATTGTTCTTCCTGCTTGACATCAATAGGGCGAGACTGGATGACCCTTGGGGGACCCTTCAAACATTATAACTCATCAAAACTAAATCCTAACTTTCACAGCTGACCCCCTCTTCTCCCTCTCTCCTGGGCAGGAGCTGTGGGGCCGGCTGCTGGGCTACCTGCTCCAGCCCCATTATGGCCACCTGGCTGGCCCTCTGTGCTGCACACTGGCCCTTTTGGCAGAGCGGCGCTGGCAGTGGGCCCCTCGGAGGCTGATTGGAGCCGAGGAAGGTGGGTCAAAGGGGATGGAGAGGTCAAACCAGATATTTTTATTATTAAGCAGAGGCTTGATGGCCATCTGTTGGGAGGGATCAGATGGTTTCTTCCTTTCTTCCTGACAGATGGGGGTTGGAATGGATGGCCTTTGGGAATCCCTTCCAATAGGATTCTATTATTGTTATTATTATTAGTGTTGGACTAGATTGTCTTTGGGGGTCCCTTCCAACTCAGAATTTTGTTATTGTTGTTATTATTATCATTATTATTCTCATTAGGGTTGGATGGACTTTGGGGGTCCCTTCCAACTCTGTCCCAGTTCAACTCTGGATTCTGTTATTGTTGTTGTTGTTATTGTTATTAGGGTTGGACTGGATGGTCATTGGGAGTCCCTTCCAATTTCAGGATTCTATTATTATTATCATTAGGGTTGGACTGGATGGCCTTTGGGTGTCCCTTCCAACTCCTGGATTCTGTTGTTGTTGTTAATACAGTTGGACTAGATAGCCTTTGGGGGTCCCTTCTAACTCAGAATTCTGTTATTGCTGTTATTATTATTATTATTATTATTATTATTATTATTATTATTATTATTATCATTAGGGTTGGATGACTTTTGGAGGCCCCTTCCAACTCTATACCTATCCAACTCTGGATATTATTATTATTATTATTATTATTATTATTATTATTATTATTGTCGAAGGCTTTCATGGCTGGAATCACTAGGTTCTTGTGGGTTTTTTCGGGCTATAGAGCCATGTTCTAGAGGCATTTCCCCTGACGTTTCGCTTGCATCATGCCTCTAGAACATAGCTCTATAGCCTGAAAAAAACCGGATATTATTATTATTATTATTATTATTATTATTATTATTATTATTATTATTAGGGTTGGACTGGATGGCCATTGGGGGTCCTTCCAATTTCAGGATTCTATTATTATTATCATTAGGGTTGGACTGGATGGCCTTTGGGTGTCTCTTCCAACTCCTGGATTTTGTTGTTGTTGTTGTTGTTGTTGTTGTTAATACAGTTGGACTAGATGGCCTTTGGGGGTCCCTTCTAATTCAGAATTATGTTATTATTATTATTATTATTATTATTATTATTATTATTATTATCATTAGAGTTGACCTTTGGGGAGCCCTTCCAACTCTGTTCCTATCCAACTCTCGATTCTGTTGTTGTTGTTGTTGTTATTATTATTATTATTATTATTATTATTATTATTAGGGTTGGACTGGATGGCTATTGGGGGTCCTTCCAATTTCAGGATTCTATTATTATTATCATTAGGGTTGGACTGGATGGCCTTTGGGTGTCCCTTCCAACTAGGATTCTGTTATTATTGTTGTTGTTGTTGTTTTTGTTAATACAGCTGGACTAGATGGCTTTTGGGGGTCCCTTCTAACTCAGAATTCTGTTATTGTTATTATTATCACTAGGATTGAATTACCTTTGGGGGGCCCTTCCAACTCTGTCCATATCCAACTCTGGATTCTATTATTTTATTATTATTATTATTATTATTATTATTATTATTATTATTATTATTATTATTATTATTAGGGTTGGACTGGATGGCCATTGGGGGTCCCTTCCCATTTCAGGACTCTATTATTATTATTATTATTATTATCATTAGGATTGGACTAGATGGCCTTTGGATGTCCCTTCCAACTCTAGGTTTCTGTTGTTGTTGTTGTTAAATCAGTTGGACTGGATGGCCTTTGGGAGTCCCTTTTAACTCTAGGATTCTGTTATTGTTGTTGTTAATACAGTTGGACTAGATGGCCTTCGGGGGTCCCTTTCAACTCTAGGATTCTGTTATTACAGTATTATTAATATTACACAGAGGCTGGCCAGCCATCTTTTGGGAGGGCTTTGATTGTGCTTTTCCTGCATGAAGGACAGAAAGGGGTTGGACTGGATGGCACTTTGGGGTCCCTTCCAACTATAGGATTCTGTTGTTGTTGTTATTATTATTATTATTATTCTATGTAGAGACTGAATGACCATCTGTCAAGAGGGATCGGATGGTATCCTTCCTTCTTGACATGAATAGGGTTGGAATGGAGGGTTGTTTTATTATTATTATTATTATTATTATTATTATTATTATTATTATTATTATTATTATGACAGAAGGGGTTGGACTGGATGGCCCTTTGGGGTCCCTTCTAATGCTAGAATTCTATAACCTTTGCAACTCCATCATGCATTTTTCCTCCAGTTCACTCTTTTTCTCCCTTCCTTCCTTCCATTCCCTGATTTTTAGGAAACTCTCCAACTCCTCAGGAACTGATGGCTCGGCTCCTGGTAAGGAATGGCCCTTTAGCAGGCCCCCCCCCCCCCAAATACACAAATAATATAAATACTAATAATACTAACCATGATTATGCCAACAATGCTAATACTATTAATACGAATGCTAATGCTACTACCAATAATACTAACCATGTTAATGCCATCGATTCTAATACTAATAATACTAATACTACTATTATTCACCTTACTAATACCAACAATGCTAATACTAATAGCAGTAATGCCAAGAGTACTGGCACTAAAAACACTAATGCCAACAATGCTAAATAATAATACTAACACCAACCATGCTAATATTAATAATACTAAGGCTAATACTACTACTAACCATGCCAATACTAAATATATTAATGCTGCTACTGCTGCTACTGCTACTACCAATGCTATTACCATCAACGCTAATAGTAATGCTGCTACTACTAACCATGCTAATACCAACCATGCTAATACTAATAATACGCTAACACTACTACTAACCATGCCAATACTAAAAATATTGCTGCTGCTACTACTACCACCAATGCTAATACCATCAATGCTAAGAGTAATAATGCTACTACTAAGCATGCTAATACCAACCATGCTAATACTAAGAATAAAAAGGCTTATACTACTACTAACCATGCCAATACTAAATATGTTGCTGCTGCTACTACTACCACCAATGCTAATACCATCAATTCTAAGAGTAATTATGCTACTACTAAGCATGCTAATACCAACAATGCTAATAATACAAAGGATAATACTACTAACCATACCAATACTAAAAATATTAATGCTGCTGCTGCTACTACTACTACTACTACCGCCAATGCTAATGCCATCAATGCTAAGAGTAATAATGCTACTACTAGGCATGCTAATACAAACAATTCTAATATTAATAATGCAAAGGCTAATACTACTACTAACCATGCCAATACTAAAAATATTATTGATGCTGCTTCTGCTCCTACTACCACCACCACCAATGCTAAGAGTAATAATGCTACTACTAAGCATGCTAATACCAACAATGCTAATACTAACAATACAAAGGCTAATACTATTACTAACTATGCCAATACTAAGAATATTAATGATGTTGCTGCTACTACTACTACTACCACCACCAATGCAAATACCATCAATGCTAAGAGTAATAATGCTACTACTAGGCATGCTAATACCAACAATGCTTATACTAATAATACAAAGGCTACTACTACTACTCACCATGCCAATACTAAAAACATTAATGCTGCTGCTACTACTACCACCAATGCTAATAGTAATAATGCTGCTATTACTACTACTAACCATGGTAATACCAACAATTCTAATACTAATAATAGTACTACTAATGCCAACAATGCCAATAATAACAATACTATTAATACCAATCCTAACAACAATAACACAACAACGCTAATGCTAATACTAACCATGCCAATGTTTACAATGCGAGTACTAATAATACTAACAAATACTAATGCCAAAAAATACAATGATTCTTCTAAATCATAACTCTGTAATACCAGCAGTAGTCACTAGGTGTCAGTCTTCCTTAATCCGAAAATATTCCAGCTATCGTTATTGTAAGGAGGTAATAAATATTATGCCGGTCTCCAACCTACAACCTAAAGGCCTACAACCTTTTTGGCCCCCAGTCTTATTTGGAGGACCCGTTGTGCTGGTCAGTGGCCCTTCCCAGCCCTTCCGTTGTGTCCACAGGGTCTGGCGGTCTCTCCTTGGGCAGGGTCCAGCCGAGGAGGGCCTGCTCTGCTCCTTCTGAGCCTCCTGCGGACAGAGATGGACACAGAGGCAGCCGCAACGTGGTGGGTGGTCCTCCCGGCCATGGTTCGCTACCTGGAAGGTGAGACGTCATGGCAATGCATTTACATTTGAGGCCTGCAGCACCAGCACCAACCACTAGGTGTCACTCTTCCTTAACCAATACAATGCATTTACATTTGACACCTGTAATACCAGCAACAGCCACTAGGTGTTAGTCTTCCTTAACTAAGGCAATGTATTTATATTTGAGGCCGTAATGTAATAATAATAATAATAATAATAATAATAATAATAATAATAATAATGAGTGTAAAGGCAAATCACAGGAGGAGACTATAATATAATGTAATATAAAATAATACATTGTATATATACATATATTTATAATATTATAATATAATGCAATATAATACTAATAATAATAATATGATATTATATTTATATATTTATATTATAATATAATGGTATAGTACAATGTAGTAATATTTAATACTGATATTGTACTATGCTAATAATATAATATATTGTATGTATATATACCTTGTAAGTCCCTCTGAGTTCCCTTCGGGGTGAGAAAGGCGGCATATAAATGTTGTAAATAAATAAATAAATAAATAATGATAGGGAGACTGTAAAGCCTAAATTCAGAAGGAAGTGTTAGTGATAATATTAATAATAATATTATAATAATAATAGGGAAACTGTAAAGCCAAACCACAGAAGGAGAAAGATATCATCATCATCTTGGACCTAGGGGAACTTCCTTAAAGACTAATAATAATTGTGGTGATTCTATCTTCTTGTTTGTCAGAAGGGGGGGGGCGGTCCCTTCCAACTGTAATTTTTTATTATTATTATTATTATTATTATTATTATTATTATTATTATTATTAAGTGTTCAATGTGTGATCCAATTCAACAGCCAGCAGAGTGTCTGCTGTGGACTCATCTTGTTGTGTTTCTAATAATAATAATAATAATAATAATAATAATTTATTATTTATTTCGTACCAAAAGCATTGCATAAATTAGTATAAAACTGATAAAAATAGAAGGAGCGCAGGCGGCTAAATATCTTTTGACCAAAAACGGGCAACAGCAACGGCATTGTCTGTAGCCTCCAACAATTCTTCCTCTGTACATGAAGCAAGGCATAGTGGACAAGCATATAGGTGTGGAGTTGTTTTGTTCTGCTCCACAGTCGCATATAATAATAGTAAAATATAATATATAATATTAATAATAAATAAATAATTTATATATAATAATTAATTGTAATATTTTGTCACATCAGGAGCGACTTGAGAAACTGCATTATTATTATTAATTATTATTATTATTAATTATTAATAGTAATATATCATAATATTATATTAATAATATTATTAATAATAATGCTGGCTCTGTTGTCTTTTTCCTTGCTCTCTGCCTCCCCCTGCTGGAAGGTCACAGCCAGTATACTCTGCCTGCATCCCTTTGGGAAGAGAAGCTCTTGGAGGTAAATATATTTGGATCTCTGGGGTTTGCTCCCCAAATCCCTCCTCGTGACCCCCTTGTTGTGCCCTTTTTCCTCTAGTTCCTGAAGGCATCCCTGCAGCGCAAAGGGGGCGTCCCTGCAGCCGGCTGGGTCTTGACCCTTGCAAAGGAATTCACCAAACAGAAGGGACTCTGGCCTGATTCCTCCCCAGAGCAGGTCAGTGGAGTCCAGTATGGGGATGAAGGGATGTAGAGTGTGTTGTGACCCCCTTGCATCCATCACAAGCCTCTTGCCTTCCAGGTCTTCCTCTCCAAGGCTTCTGGGGTGGCCCTCTCTGCAGCCGGAGACCCCAAAGTGGCCACACTGATCCTCCAGGACCTCCTCCTGCAAGCAGATTACGCCGACCAAGGGCAAATGAAGGCAAGGAGGCCTCCCAAAGGCCATCCAGTCCAGCCCCAGTCCTCCAGGGAGCAAGACAATTCCAATCCCTCCTGACAGATGGCCCTCCAGCCTCTGATTATGGAATCAGAGAATGCTATGGGACTCTAAAGGCCATCCTGTCCAGTTCCAGTCCTCCAGGGAGCAAGGCACATTCCGATCCCTCCCAACAGATGTCCTCCAGCCTCTGATTATGGGCTCAGAGAATGCTAAAGGGACCCCCAAAGGCCATCCAGTCCCAGTCCTCCAGGGAGCAAGGCACATTCCGATCCCTCCCAACAGATGTCCTCCTGCCTTTGATTATGGACTCAAAGAATGCTAAAGGGACCCCTAAAGGCCATCCAGTCCAGCCGCAGTCCTCCAGGGAGCAAGGCATATTCCGATCCCTCCTGACAAATGGCCCTCCAGTCTCTGATTATGGACTCAGAGAATGCTAAGGGAGCTTAAAGGCCATCCAGTCCAGCCTCAGTCCTCCAGGGAGCAAGGCACATTCCAGTCCCTCCCAACAGATGTCATGCAGTCTCTGATTATGGACTCAGAGAATGCTAAAGGGACCCCTAAATGCCATCCAGTCCAGTCCCAGTCCTCTAGGGAGCAAAGCACATTCTGATCCCTCCTGACAGATGTCCTCCAGCATCTGATTATGGAATCAGAGAATGCTAAAGGGACCCCTAAAGGCCATCCAGTCCAGCCCCAGTCCTCCAAGGAGCAAGACAATTCCAATCCCTCCCGATAGATGGCCCTCCAGCCTCTGATTATGGACTCAGAGAATGCTAAAAGGGCCCCTAAAGGCCATCCAGTCCAGTCCCAGTCCTCCGGGGAGCAAGGCACACTCTGATCCCTCTCGACAGATGTCCCCTGGCCTCTGATTATGGGATCAGAGAATGCTAGAGTTTAAAGAAACCCCCAAAATTCATCCAGTCCTACCCTAAAGGAAGGCACAATCCGATACCTCCTGATAGATGGCTCTCTGGCCTCTGATTATTGAATCACAGAAAGCTAAAGGGACCACCAAAGGCCATCCAGTCCAACTCCCTTCTTCCAGATTCCTCCCGACAGATGGTCAACCATCCTCTTATTACACTGCGTAACACTATGATTTTTGGTCCTAATAATAATGACCATAATAATCTTTTTGGCCTCCTTTGCAGGGCCTGCGCTGGTGCCTGGCTTACTGCGCGGAGGGTCATCCGGCCGCAGTGCTGGACGCTTTGGGACGCTTTGAGGCCGCCATCTTGGAGGAGGGCGAGGAGCCTGACTGCCCACTCTTTGGCCAGGTCATGACCTTTCCCCATCCCCTTCTCTCTCCCCTCCACCAATGAGGGTCCCAATGCTAATAGCACAAAGACCTCTGTGTATAAAATCAGAGAATCCTAGAGTTGGAAGGGACCCCCAAAGGCCATCCGGTCCAACCCATTAAAGGAAGGCACCATCTAATCCCTCCCGATAGATGACCATTTGGCCTCTGTGTGTAGAATCAAAGTGGAAAGGGACCCCAAAGGCCGAGTCCAACTCCTTAAAGGAAGGCACAATCCGATCCCTCCTGACAGGTGGCCATACAGCTTCTATGTATAGAATCATAGTGGGAAGGGACCCAAAGTCCATCAAGCCCATAAAGGAAGGAACCATCTGATCCCTCCCGATAGATGGCCATTTGGCCTCTATGTATAGAATCATAGTAGGAAGGGATCCCAAAGGCCTTCCAGTCCAACCCAATAAAGGAAGATACTGTATGATACTTCCCAAGAGATGGCCATACAGCTTCTATGTATGGAATCATAGTGGGAAAGGACCCCCAAAGGCCATCCAGTCCAACCCTTTAAAGGAATACACTACATGCTCCCAATAGATAGCAATCCAGCCTCTGTGTATAGAATCACAGTTGGAGGGGACCCCCAAAGAATATCCAGTCCAACCCCATAAAGGAAGGCACCATCCGATCCCTCCTGACAGGTGGCCATAGAATCATAGTATTGGAAGGGACCCTCAATGGACATCTGGTCCAACCCCATAACAGATGGGCATCCCCTTTGCCCCCACAGGGCCTCCCCGAGCCAGAGAGGATGGGCGTGAAGGCGGCTCTGGTGAACTTCTATGGCGCTCTCCCCGGCTGGGTCCATAAAGAGCAGCTGCAGTTCCCCTTGCTGGAGCGGATCGTGGCCAAGATCCTGCTGCATTACGAGACAGCAGGAGGGACAGAGGTGCCAAGAAAGGGCTTCCTCCTTTGCTTCCCTTCTTTTGCCGCTAACTATCCTTCCTCATCTGCCATCCTTCCTTCCTTCCATCCATCCATTCTTCATTTCCTCCCCTCCATTTATCTTCCCTACTTTCCTCCGTCCTTTCCTCCCCCTTTCCCTCCTTCCTTCCCTTTCCATCTAGCCTCCATTTATCTTCTCTTTCTTCCCTCATTCCTTCTAATTTATCTTCTTTTCCTTCTCCATCTATCAGTCTATCCTTCCATCCATTTCCCCTCCCTCTCTCCCTCCTTTTTTTTGGGGGGGGGGGGTTTAAAAAATACACACACACATAGAAACATACAAATACAAGTATTTTTCCCCTATCCCATCACCACCACATCCTCATCCCTCTCTCTGCCCTTTCTTTATCTTTCCTTCCTTCCTTCCTTCCCATCTATCTCTCTATCTATCTCTCTATCTCTCTCTCTATCTCTCTCTCTCTCTATCTATCTATCTATCTTTCCTTCTTTCCTTTCTTTCTTCCTCTGTCCTTCCTTCCTTCCTTCTTCACCTCTATCTATCTATCATCTATCTATCTATCTATCTATCTATCTATCTATCTATCTATTCTCTTATCTATCTATCTATCTCTATCTATCTATCTATCTATCTATTCTATCTTCTTCTTCCCCTTCTTTTCCTTCTTCTTTCCTTCCTTCTTCTTTCTTTCTTTTCTTTTTTTTCTTTCTTCCTTCTTTCTTTCTTCTTTCTTTCCTTTTTTTTCCCTTCCTTTTTCTTCTTCTTCCTTCCTTCCCTTCCTTCCTCTTCTTCCTTCTTTCTCTTCCTTCCCTTTCCCTTCCTTTCTTCCTTTCTTTCCTTCTTTCCTCTTCTTTCTCTTCCTTCCTTCCTTTCTTTCCTTCCTTTCTTCTTCCCTCTTCCTTCTTTCCTTCCTCCTTCCTTCCTTCCTTCCTTCTTCCTTCCTCTATCTATCTTTCCTTCTTTCTTTCTTCATCTATTTATCCTTCCTTCCTTCACCCCTATTTATCATCTATCTATCTATTTATCTATCTATCTATCTATCTATCTATCTATCTATCTATCTAATCTATCCTTCCTTCCTAACTTCCTTCATTCCTATTTTTTTCCTTCCTTTACTTCTGTCTACTTACCTATCTAGATCTTGATCCAGCATATAGATCTTGTTTGCTGTGACATACTGTGCTTTTGTGTCAGTAAAATAATAACAATAATAATAATAATAATCATCATCATCATCTATTCTTTCTCCTCCATTACCTGCCTGGTGGAAAAAGGGCTAACAATCCTATGGCCAAAGGTCAGTTTAGAATAGAGACCCCAGGAGTCCTCCTTCTTCTTCCTTCTTTCCTTCCTTCTTTCCTTCCTTCTTTCCTGCAGAGAGCCAAGGGAGACCCTCAACTGGCCTTGAGCTTCATCCGGAGCCTGTCTGGGCTCAGCCTGGCCATCCAAGCCTTGGAGGAAGACCCTCTTTCCTTTGGGATCCCCCAAAAGCGGGGCCTCTTGGACCGCCTCCTGGTGAGGCTTGGAAAGTATTATTCCTGCTTTGCAAGTATTATCCTGCTTTGAAAGTATTATTTCCTGTTTAATACTGGAGAGGTTTGGGGGAATTCATCTACGAATTGCAGTTCGCCGGATTTATAGTTCAAAGACATATCCCAGTGTTCCTTTCTCTCTCCATTGGTGTGGAATTTGCATGATCCTGCCTACTCCCTGAACTCTTTCCTATGGTGCACAGAAAACAGTGGAATTGATTAGTAACTGAACATACTGGAAGGGATTGCAGGGCTGACTCAACAGGATGGAAGTTGTAGTTCACTCTGTATCAAGACACCGACAATGGACATAGACCACATTTGGCACACAGAACCCCCATGACCAATGGAACATACTGGAGGGATTTGGGGGAATTGGCCTTGACATTTGGGATTTATAGTTCACCTGTAATCAAAGAGTACTCTAAACTCCACCAATGATGGACCTGGAACTATCTTGGCACACAGAACCCTCAAGACCAATGAGAAATACTGGAGGTCTTTTGGTGGATTTATGGGAGTTGTAGTTCATCTACATCCAGAAAGCACTGTGAACCCAAACAATGAGGGATCTGGATCAAAGTTTGCACACATCCCTGATATGCCCAAATTGGAATCCTGGTGGGTTTTGGTTAGAGTTGTAGGTATTGGGATTTATAGTTCACCTGCAATCAAAGAGCACTCTGAACATCACCAAAAAGAACCTGCCAATGTCCTCCGCACAGCAAACAGGGGAACTGATCCGCAACCGAATTGGGGAGAATTCACCATGATTTATAGGAGTTGTAGTTCCTGGGATGTATAGTTCACCTGCAATCAATGAGCACTGTGAGCTCCACCAAAGATGGAATTGGACCAAACTTGGCACACAGAGTCTTCTTGATCAGCAATAAATACTGGAGGTCTTTGGGGGAAATTCACCTTGATTTGTGGGAGTTGTAGTTCACCTACATCCAGAGAGCACTGTGAACCCAAACACTGATGGATCTGGACCAAACTTGGAATGCATACCCGATATGCTGAAATTTGATTACTGGAAGGGATTTGGATTGACCTTCCTTTCTGGGAGTTGTAGTTCACCCACAACCAGGGAAACTGTGACTGCCACCGATGATGGACCTGAACCAAACTTGACACACAGGACCCCCATGAACAACTCAACCTACTGGAAGGGTTGGAGGGGACTGATTTACCATAGTGGGAGTTGTAGTTTATCCTACAGCCAGAGGGCACACTCAACTCCACCCATGAGGCACCCAGAGCAAATTTTCCCAACATAACACACTTTAAGGACTGATGGAGCTTCTCGGGGTTAATATGGCATTATGTGAGTTGTAGTTCACCCACAACCTTATGCCAGGCAATGCTGGGTATCCAAGCTGGTATACTATACCTCTTCCAGGCCCTCATCCAACCTGAATCCAAGGACGGCCGGATGGTGTCTCCAGTCTGCAAAGAGGTGATGGCTGCTCTGCAGGATTTGAGGCAGGTCAGGGGTCAAAGGGAAGGTGGTCCCATCCCCCAAAATCGGGGCACAGACTTTGACCCCAATTTGCACCTCCACAGCCGCAGCCCAGAAACCTTGAGCCATGAGGAAAACATCGAACTGGCCGAGCAGAGCCTGAGCCGCTTCGTGACCCTCCTGCCTTTGGAAGAAGACAACAACCAGGTGGGAGGTTATCATCACCATCATCATAACATGATTTTTGCTTCTGGGTGATAAATGTCAGGAAGGAAAGAAAAAGTAGGAAGGGAGAAGGAAGAAGAGAACAAGAGGGAAGAAAGAAAAGGGAAATAAAGGAGAAAAGGACGAGAGAAGGAGGGAAAGAAAGAAGGAAGGAAGGAAAAAAAGAAGAGGAAGGAAGGGAGAAGGAAGAAAATGGAGGAAAATAAATAGGGAAAGAAGGGAAAGTAAGAAAAGGAAAGGAAAGGAAAGGGAGAAGAGAAGGAGGGAAGGAGGAAAAAGGGAAAAAAGAGGAGTGAAGGAAAGGAGAAGGAAGGAAAGAAAGAAAAATAAGGGAAATGAAGGAAGAGAGGTGGAAGGAAAGAAAGAAAAAGGAAAGGAAGGAAGGGAGATTGAAAGAAAGAACAAAAGGAAGGGAGGGAGACGGAAGAAAAGAAAAAGAAGGAAAGGGAAGGAGATGGAAAGAAATAAAGAAATAGATGGAAAGGAAGGAGAAGGCAGGAAAGAAAGAAAAGGGAGGGAGGCAGAGGAAAAGGAAGGAAGGGAGAAGGAAAGAAAGAAAAAGAAGAGGAAGGACGAAGGAAAGGAGGGGGGAAAAGAAGGGAAAGGAAGGGAGGAGGACAGAAGGAAGGAAAGGCAGGGAGGGAGATGGAAAGAAATAGAAGGAAAGAAAGGGAGGGAGAAGGCCGGAAAGAAAGAAAGGGGAAAGGGAGGGAGAAGGAAGGAAAAGGAAGGGAGGGAAATGGAAGGAAAAAGGAAAAGAAGGAAAATAAAGAAAGAAAAGGAAAAGGGAAGGAGAAGGAAGGAAAGAAAAAAGGGGAAAGGAAGGTGAGGGGGACGGAAGGAAAAAAAAGAAGGGGAGGTAAGGTAGAAGGAAGGAAGGAAAGAAAAGGGAAAGGAAAGAAGAAGGAAAGAAAGAAAAAGAAGGGAAAGGAAGGAAGAAGATGAGGAAGGAAGGTGAGAGAAGGGGGAAGAGAAAAAGAAGAAGGGAGAAGAAAGAGAAAGGAGGAAAGGAAGAAAAAGGGAAGGAAATGAAGGGAAAGGAGGGAGGCAGGGACTGAAGAGAAAGAAGAAGGGAATGACAGGAAGGAAAGAAAGAAAAAGAAGGGACAAGGCCAGGTGTATGCGATCGCTCCCTCCYTTTCTGCTTCCCAGTCTCTTTCCCAGGGGGCTTTGGCAGCCCTTTTGGACCTAATGGAGACCCTGATGGGACAGGTAGAGGCTTCGGCGTGGCTCCAGCAAGTCTTCCAGGTGGGCAATAACTACCCTGAGTTACCTGTAGCTTCCCCTTATGACTTACCTGTCCTTTTGTGGTTGCATCAATCCACAACCCTCTCCTTCCCTGCAGCTCCTGGGCAACTATTTGGTGTCCGAACGGGAAGCAGAGCGCCTTTTGGCCCTGCAGCTCGGCACGCGTTTGCTGAGGACCCGGCGGCAGAAGACGGGGCCCTTCGTGAGTCGATCCCATCATCCACAGACCCAGTCCTGCCTCCCTTCACATTGGAAGGGACCCCAAAGGCCATCCAGTCCAGCCCCCTTCCGCCAAGCAGGAAGATAGAATTACTATTCTATTATTATCTATTATTACTATTATTACAAGACTCATTGAGTTGGAAGGAACTCCAAAGGGCATCCAGTCCAACCCCTTGCTACCAAGTAGCTAGAATTACTATTATATCATTATCTATTATTGTCATTATTAGACTTCTGGTGTTGTTATTATTGTTATTAGACTTCCAGTCCTCAAATTAATATATTATTACTCTGATGGTGATGATGATGATTATTATTAGACTTAAAGTTGGAAGGGACCCCAAAGCCCATCCAGTCCAACCCCTTTCTTCCAAGCAGGTAAAATTACTATTATATTATTATCCATCATCATCATCATCATCATCATCATCATTATATATATATATATATATATATATATATCATAATATATCACATATATATATATATATATATCATTATATATATATATATATATATTCAAGTATAAGCCGAGCTTTTCAGCCCTTTTTTAAGGCTGAAAAAGCCCCACTCGGCTTATACTCGAGTCAAAGTTATTTATTATTATTATTATTATTATTATTATTATTATTATTATATTTAATATTTTTCTCTATTTATTGTTATTATTACTTTTATTATTTTACTCTATTTTTCTTATTACATGTATTATTTTACTCTATTAGTATTACATTTTCTCTATTCTACTTTATTATTGTAATTACATTTATTATTTTACTCTATTATTGTTATTATTGCATGTATTATTTTACTCTATTTTTCTTATTACATTTATTATTTTACTCTATTAGTATTACATTTATATTATTTTACTTTATTATTGTAATTACATTTATTATGTTACTCTATTATTGTTATTATTACATGTATTATTTTACTCTATTATTACTTGAGTATATACGGTATTATTATTAGACTCCAAGGGTCATCCAGTCCAACCCCCTTCTATCATAAAGGAAGACACCATCCGATCCTTCCCGACAGATGGCCAAGCTTTATCACCTCATGTCCATTCCATCTTTGGAGGAGATCATACAGATCAATAAGCCTAAGCAAAGCCCTCTTTTTTCCCTTTGCAGCCAGAGGCCCAGTGGGGCCCTTTTGGCCTCTTTGTCGGGGCCTTGGCCCCATTGACCTTTGACACCCGGGGCCCGGTCCGGCGAGAGGCAGCCAGTTGCATTGGACTCCTGCTTAGCCTCCAAGGTGAGTCCCCAAAACAAATGGGGCGAATTGATGGGGCCATAACCATTGCACCCCAGAATGGGTTTCCAAGTTGGCACCAGAAACACTTGCCCCATTATTCGCTCATTATTTACCCATTACATTCAGGGCCAAGATTCCCAGATTGCTAAGGGAAGAGTCCCTCTGTGAGGTCAGGGGGGGAAGGAAGGAAAGAAAAAATATTATTTATTTATTTCCAGCATTTGTACCCTGCCCTTCTCAACCCCCAGAGGGAAAAAGAAGGGAAAGCAGGGGGGAAAAGGAAGGGAGGGCAGAGGCATTACATAAAAAGGGGGGGGGGGGGGAGAGAAAGAAAGAAAGAGAAGAAGGAAGGACAAAGAAAAAGGATAAAAAGAAGTGAAGGAAGGAAATATGGAAGGGAGGGAGGGAGGAAAGAAAGAAAGGGAAGAAGGAAGAAGAAGGAAAGGAAAAGAGGAAGAAAAAAGGAAGGGAAGGAAGGAAATAAGGAAGGGAGGGAGGAAAGAAAGAATGGAAAGAAGAAAGAAAGGAGGGAGGAAGGAAGGAAATAAGGAAGGAAGAGAGAAAGGAGGAAGGGAGGAAAGAGAGAAGGGGGAAAGAAAAAGAAAAAGGAAGGAGGAAGGAGGAAAAGGAAGGGGAGAAGAAGGGAAAGGAAAGAAGGGAAGAAGGAGGAAGGAAGGAAGGGAGGAAGGAAGGAAGGAAGGAAGGAGGAAGGAAGGAAGGAAGGAAGGAAGGGGAAGGGAAGGGAGGAAGGAAAAAGGAAGAGAGATGGGAAGGAAGGAGGGAGGTAGGAAAGAAGGAAGGAAAAGGAAGGAAGGAAGGAAGGAAGGAAGGAAGGAAGGAAGGAAGGAAGGAAAAGGGGAGGGAAGGGAGGGAATGAAGGGAAGGAAGGAAGAGAGGAAGGAAGAGAAGAAGGAAGGAAGGGAAAGGGGGGAAAGGAGGAAGTAGGTAGGCAGCAGGGGCAATCCTAAACCAAAGCCTCTCTGTCTTGCCCCGACCGTAGGCATCGTTGTGCCTCGGAAGCTCAACGGGGAGGAATGGCACATGCGCTGCATCCGCCAGGATCTCTTCTGCGAAGACACCAAGAAGGGGGAAACCGCCTCCTGCCAACTGGCCAAGGTACACTGTTTGGGGCTCCCTCGGGGCGATCTCTGGATAAGTTTTGGGGAAAGGCTCTACGTAAGTCTTGAGGGTTCTAGGCAAGTCTTGGTGAGAGGCTATCATTAGTTTTTGGGGAGAAGCTCTAGGTTGAGGAGATCTCTAGGTAAGTCCTGAGGAAAGACACTAGGTAATTCTTGGAGGAAGGTTCTAGGTAAGTCTTGGAGGAAAGTTCTATAGAAGTATTGGGGTTCTAGATGAGTCTTCGGGAGAGGCTCTAAAGCCTCCTGGAGAGGCTCTAGGTAAGTCTGGGGAGATGCTCAAGGTAAATCTTGGAAATAAGGTTCTAGGAAGTCTTGGGGAGAAGCTCTAGTTAAGTTTTAAAGAGAGGCTCTAGGCAACCTTTGAGGAAGATTTTAGATAAGTCCTGGGGAGGCTCTAGGTAAGTCTTGGGGAGAAACTCCAGGTTGGGGAGATCTCTAGGTAAGTCCTGGGGAAAGGCACTAGATAAGTCTTGAAGGTTCTAGGTAAGTCTTGGAGGACAGTTCTAGGTAGGTCTTGGGGAGGTTCTAGGTAGGTTTTGAGGAGAGACTCTAAAGTTTGGAGAAGCTTTAGGTAAGTCTGGGAAGAAGCTCTAGGTAAGTCTTGTGCTTTCCCTGCATGGCAGGAGGGGGTTGGACTGGATGGCCTTTAGGGGCTCCTTCCAATGCGGTATGTGATTCCCTTCCCCTCTTGCTCTCAGGTGGTCAGCTGGGTCTTGCCTGCAGACGAGGTCTTGCCCTTCCTGTGCTCCTTGGTCAATCAAATGGGGGCGGTCAGCCCCGACTGCGACCGGGCCGCCCTTCTGTGGTTCGAGGTGGCCGTCCAGCACTGGAGGATGGAGCCGGGCGATGAGTCCAGGCAGGTAAGAGATAGAGTGCAGTCCTCCTCTCTGAAGCAGCCAAAGACCCTGTACCCTCACTTTGATTGGACTACAACTCCCATAACCCCTTCCCATCCCCCACTTTGCATTACAACTCCCATAAGCTCATCCCATCCAGATATTTTGAGCTACAACCCTCATAAGCTCTTTTCATCCACATATTTTACACTACAGCTTCCATAGGCTCCTTCCATCCAGATATTTTGGACTACAACTCCCATAGGGTCTTGCTGTCCAGAAATTTTGGACTACAAAACCTATAAGCTCTTTTCATCCACACACTTTACACTACAACGCCCACAAGCTCTTGCCATCCATGACAACTCCCATAAACTGTCCAGATATTTTGGATGACAACTCCTGTAGGCTCCTTCGTTCTAGATATTTTAGACTACAACTCCCATAAGCTCTTATTGTTCAGATACTTTGGTCTACAACTTCTGTAAGCTCTTACAGTCCAGATATTTTGGACTACAACTCCCATGAACTCTTATTTTTCAGATATTTTAGACTACAACTTCTGTAAGCTCTTGCCAGCCAGATATTTTGTATTACAACTCCCATGAACCCTTACTGTCCAGGTATTTTAGACTACAACTCCCATAAGTTCTTATTGTCCAGATATTTTGGACTATAACTCCTGTAAGCTCTTATTGTCTGGATACTTTGGACTGAAAATCCAGCAAGCTCATAAAAAATGAGCTTGCTGGAGATATTTTGTACTACAACACCTATAAGCTCTTGACATCCATATATTTTGGACTACAAATCCCATAAGCTCTTACTGTCCAGGTATTTTAGACTGCAACTCCCATAAGCCCTTGCCATCCAGATATTTTGGACCACAACTCCCATAAGCTCTTGCCGTCCAGATATTTTGTACTACAACTCCCATAAGCTCTTGCCGTCCAGATACTTTGGACTATAACTCCCGTAAACTCTTGCAGCTCAGATATTTTGGATGATAACTCCCATAGGCTCCTTCCATCCAGATATTTTTGGGCAGCAGCTCCCACCAGCGCTTTCCCGGATCTCCTTCCAGGTGGGCTCCCTGGTGGGCTGCCTCTGCTCCCGGCTGGAGATCTCAGAGGGACCCGATCCGTTGCACTGCTTGACCAGCGGGCTGTGCGTCCTGGCGGAGCGGCACCCCAACGCCACCTGCCTCTCCCTCTTGCAGCGCAAGGTGCTCCCCAGGAGGTGCGTGAAGCCCACTTTCCCCCTTCTCCGGCTCTCTTTTCCCTTCCTTCTTCCCTTTCCCTTCTCTGTCTTCTTCTTTTCCCCTTCTTCTTCCTTTTTTTCTTCCCTTCCTACCTTCTTTCTTTCCTTTCTCTTATTTTTTCTCCTTTCTTTACTTCCTCTTCCTGCCTTCCTCCCTCTTCCCTTCTTTTTCTCTCTTGCCTCCCTTCGTCCCTTCTTTCTTTTTCCTTTCTCCCTTTTTCTTCCTTCCTTTATCTCTCATCCCTTCTTTCTTTCATAAATTTTCTTCCCCCTTCTTTCCTCCTTTTTCTCCTTTTCTCTTACTTAATTCCTTACTTTGTTATTTCCTTACTTTCTTTCCCTTTCCTTTCCTTTCCTTCCTTCCTTCCTTTCCCTTTCTCTCTCTTCCTTCCTCTCCTTTCTTTCTTCTTCCTCATACCTTTTCTTTTCCTTTATTCCCTCCCTCCTTTCTCTCTACACTTCTCTCCTTTCTTTACTTCATCTTCCTCTTCCCTTCTTTTTCTCTCTTCCCTCCATCTGACCTTTATTTCTTCCCTTCCTTTCTTTCCCTTTCCTCCATTTTTTCTTCCCTTCTTTTTCTCTCTTCCCTCCCTTCATCACTTCTTTCTTTCCTTTCTTTTTCCTTTCTTTCTTTCTTTCTTTCTTTCTTTCTTTCTTTCTTTCTTTCCCCTTTCTTTCCATTTTCCTCTCTTCATCCCTTACTTATTTCCTTACTTCCCCTTTTCTTTCCTTTCTTTTTCTCTCCTTTTCTCCTACTTCATCCCTTACTTTTTCTCTTACTTTCTTTCCCATATCTTTTCTTTCTTTCTTTTTTCCTTTATTTTCTTCCTCTCCCTTCCTCCCTCTTTCCTTTCTTTCTTCTCCCTCTCACCTTTCTCTTTACAGTTCTCTCCTTTAGTTACTTCATCTTCCTCTTCCCTTCTTTTTCTCTCTTCCCCCATCTGACCTTTCTTTCCTCCCTTCCTTTCTTTTCCCTTCCTCCATATTCGCTTTTTTCTCTCTTCCCTCCCTCTCCTTTTTTCTTCCTTCCTTTCTTTCTCTTTCCTTCTCTTCCCTTCTTTTCTTTCTTCTTTCCTTCCCCTCTTCCCCCTCCTTTTCTTTCCTTTCTTTTCTCTCTTCCCTTTCCTTCTCTCTTCTCTCTTTCTATCCTTACTTTCCTTTCCTTTTTTTCTTTCCCTTTCTTTCCTTTTCTCTCTCTTCATCCCTTACTTATTTCCTTACTTTCCCTTTCCTTTCCTTTCTTCTCTCTCTCTCTTTTCTCCTACTTCATCCCTTACTTTTTCTCTTACTTTCTTTCCCATATCTTTTCTTTCTTTTTTCCCTTTATTTTCTTTCTCTCCCTTCCTCCCGCTCTTTCCTTTCTTTCCTCTCCTCCCTCATACCTTTTTCCCTTCCCTCCCTTTCTTCCCTCCCTCCTTTTCCTTTCTTCCCCCTCCTTTCTCCTTTCCTTTTTCTTCTTTCTTTCCTTCTCTCTTTCCTCTCTTCATACCTTTCCCCTTTTTGTTTCTCTCCCTTTTTTTCTTTCTTTCTCTTCCAATCTTGATTCTTGGAACCCAAGCAATGGTTCCCAGTGACTGCATATCCCATGATCCCTGGCAATGGATGATGGGAGCTGGAGTCTGACAGTAGCCACGTTCTTTCTTCCCAACAGGAAGGAAATTTGGATGGCGCTCACCACCTGTAAGGCCCTCTCGACCTCGATCTTGGAGTTAGTGTTGAACTGGATGGAACCATGGCTTGTGGGGCCAAGCGGCTTGGTGAATCTGCCGCCTACGGTTTGCACATTTGGATACATTTGGGGGCAGATCCTCCTCTTTTTTCCTATGGGATGGTAGGATCAAGGGTTAGGGTTAGGTGCAAGGAAACAAGAAGTCTTTCCCCCTAAGCAATATCCAATGGCAAGCCTATGCATTAGTTAAAGAAGACCGACACCTAGTGGCTGGTGCTGGTACTGACAATATACTACTTCTACTACTACTACTACTACTACTACTAATAATAATAATAATAATTTATTGATTTATTGATTTATTTATTTACGACATTTATATGCTGCCCTTCTCACCCCGAAGGGGACTCACAGTGGCTTACAAGGTATATATTACATACAATATATTAAATTATTAGCATACTATAATATCAGCATTAAACATTGCTATATTGCACCATACCACTATATTGTAATATTATTCGTAATATTACATGTAATATAAATATATAATTATAACATCATATTATTATTATATTGCATTACAATATATTATATTGCAATATAATATATTGTATATACATGTAATATTTATATTACATTATAATATTATAAATATTACATGTATATACAATACGGGAAAATAATAATCAACTTATCTACTAACCCTAGGTAAAGGTAGTCCCTGACATTAAGTCCAGTCATGTCTGACTCTGGGGTGTGGTGCTCATCTCCATTCCTAAGCCGAAGAGCCGGCGTTGTCCGTAGACACCTCCAAGGTCATGTGGCCGGCATGACTGCATGGAGCGCCATTACCTTCCCGTCGGAGCGGTACCTATTGATCTACTCACATTTGCATGTTTTCGAATTGCTAGGTTGGCAGAAGAATTTATCTATACACATAATAAAAGTGAAAATGTGTGTGTGGCTAGGGTGTTCACTTACACAGACAGGGTCTTGCCTCCGCAAACAGCTATAGCTCCCACTATTCAGGAGTCACCAAAGGCCCTCCACCCAATGACATTGCAGGTTGTAGCTGCATGGCCATCTGTTGGGGTGCTTTGAATGTGATTTTCCTGCTCCCTGGCAGAATGGGGTTGGACTGGATGGCCCATGAGGTCTCTTCCAACTCTAGGATCACCATAAGGACAAACGCATACACCATAGGGGACGTTGTTATACCTTCTTCTTGTAGTTCCACCTTCTTGTTGTTGTTCATCTCTTGCTTCCAGGGACTTCAGGCTCTTCGGGATGTGATCTTAGCCCTGAAAGGCTGCGCTGAACTGATCCCGCTCCTCTCGGACCTTTGCTATAGACTTCTGTGCCAACTCAGCCAGGAAATTCCTGCCTCGTGTCCGGATCTCAGCGGGTAAGGTTGTTCTCTCCCTTCCCACATTCAGCGCCATCGCAATTGAGATCTGCGCTTCCCAAACCGTTTCTCCAGATGTTTTGGACTTAGACTCTTGGTCAGCAATCGGGACTCTGGGAGCAGACATCCAAAACATTGGCCAAGATTAGCATTGGTTTTATTATTACTATAATAATAATAATAATAATAATAATAATAATAATAATAATAATGTAAAAGAAGATCTAGAAGCTAGATGTCCATCTGTCAAGTAGGCTTTGATGGTGTCTTCCATCATGGCAGGAATAGGGTTGGACTGGGTGGCCTTTGAGGGTTTCTTCCAACCATAGGATCCTATCCTATGATTCAGAGGCTGGATGGATACCTATCAGGAGGAACTGCATGGTGTCTTCCTGCCGGGCAAAAATGGAGTTGGCATAGATGACCTTTTGGGGGCTGTCTTCCTCAGGTTGGTGATTGAGTTGATCCAAACCATCGTCCGCAAAGCTTGTCCTGAGGCTGCGGCAGAGATGGACACGGGGGATGTTTGGACTCTGCTGAAGGAACCCAGTCGCATCCATGAAAGCATCGTCCTTCTGGGCAGGTAAACAAGGAAGGGTGTCTCTCTTCCCTTGGCCTCCAAGTTCTCATTTGCAAGCCCAGAGAGAATGTTCAGAAGTGAAAAGACCTCCTACAAAGGAGGCCTGGCCCAACGGGGTCCATCTCAAGGACTTTGCAGAAGGACACATAGTCATGAGTTGCGTCAACTTAGACATTTAGTCCAAGGACTCCTAGAACTGCGGTGATGTTCTTGAAAGTCTTAGAAGACCAACTGTGTTGGAGTTCGGGAAAAGTTGAATGAAGTTCAAGGACCTTCCGGATGTCTTTGAGGACCTTCCTTCTGGACCTCTTTGAGGATGATCCTTCTGGACATCTTTGAAGATCTTCTTGACATCTTCAAGGACTTTCCTTCTGAACATCTTTGAGGAACTTCTTGATGTCTTTGAAGTCTTTCTTTTAGATGCCTTTGAGGACTTTCCTTTTAAATATCTTTTGAGAAACTTTTAACTATTTTTGAGGTCTTTCCTTCTGGACGTCTTTGAGAAACTTCTTTGAGGACTTCCTTCTGGATATCTTTGAGATTTTTTCTTCTGGACATCTTGGTGAATCTTCTTGACATCTTGAAGGACCTTCCTTCCAGATGTCTTTGAGGACCTTCTTTCTGGACATCTTTGCGAATCTTCTTGACATCTTCAAGGAATTCCTTCGAGACATCTTTGAGGATCTTCCTTCCGGACGTCTTTGGGAACCTTCCTTCTGGATGTCTTTGAGAATCTTCTTGATGTCTTCAAGGAATTCCTTCCAGACATCCTTAAGGGCCTTCCTTCTGGACATCTTTGATAAACTTCCTTCTAGATGACTTTGAGAATCTTTGTGATGTCTTGAAGAACCTTCCAGACATCTTCAAGGACCTTCCTTCCGGACATCTTTGAGGAGTTTTCTTCTGGACATCTTTGAGAATCTTCTTGACGTCTTGAAGGACCTTCCAGACGTCTTCAAGGACCTTCCTTCCTGACATCTTTGACTAACTTCCTTCTGGACGTCTTTGAGGATCTTCTTGACATCTTTGAGGATCTTCTTGACATCTTCCTGGTTGTAGGGTGATGGAGAGACGAAGGGGAAGATGTTCTTGCTCCAGTTTGGTTGGCACTTATCTGCCTCTCCTTCCCTCCCCAGAGCCTTCTCAACATGCTCAGAGGACCTCTTCCTGGATGGGCTACTACAGCGTTTCCTCCCTCCTCTAAACAAGCCCAGTGGGATCTTCAGAGACCTCAGCTTGGCCTTCTGTGTTGAGGTGAGACCCATAGACTTGCATTAATATTAACTAACACAGAATATGGACTTTCCGAATCCAGTTTCTTTGGCTACATTCATGCCTGGCTTTGGGTTTTCCAGCTCACAGAGCACCTGATGGTGCATAAGCCGGAAGTGCGGACGCCACTCCTGCAAAGTTGGCTGCACGAAGCCAAGGAAGGAGAGCCTATGCCACGTGCCATGGCCATTCGAGGGCTGCGGAACACGGCAAATGCAATGGCGACATCAAAGGTAGGGAGCATATCACAGCAGGAAGAATTAAAGGGAAACACCGAGAATTTTCTAGAGTCCTTGTTCGGGCGCCAAAAATGTTGAGGCTCAGAGCCCAAATAGCCCTAGTCTCGATTTCCAATCAGACAGTTAGAAATGAGGAGATTTCAATAGTTTAATCTTCAGCTCTCGTCTTCTCAAATTCCTTGGCCAGATTTTTTTCTGTTTGTCTTCACAAATAGTGCATTTGATACAGTCCTGTCAGGACCCAGTCTTATTTGTAAATGTGGAAATCTCCAAGGTGGAAGAGGGAATGTCGTTGTTAATTCTCTTTCCCTCCCTCTTCTCTCCTCTACTCATCCTCTTTTCTTTTCTCTTTCTTTCTTTCTTTCTTTCTTTCTTTCTTTCTTTCTTTCTTTCTTTCTTTCTTTCTTTCCTCCTTCCTTTTCCTCCCTCCCTCCTCCTCCTTCTTTCTCTCTCCTTCTTTCTCTTTCTCTCCCCTTTCTTTCTTTCTTTCTTTCTTTCTCTTCTTCCCTACCTCTTCTCCTCTTCTTTACTTTTCTTCTTACATACTTTCCCTCCCTCCTCCCTTTTCTGCTCTCTCTTTCCTCTTCCTATCCCTCCTTCCCTCCATTTCCTCCCTCTCTTCCTTCCTTCCTTCCTTCCTTCCTTCCTTCCTTCCTTCCTTCCTTCCTTCCTTTTCCTTTCTTCCTTTCCTTCCCTCCTTCCCTCCCTCTTCTCACCTTCTTTACTTTTCTTCCTCCTTCTGTTCCCTCCCTCCTCTTCCTTCATTCTCTCTCCTTCTTTCTCTTTCTCTTCCCTTTCCTTCTTTCTTTCTTTCTTTCCCGCCATCTCCCTCTCTCATTTCCTTCTTCTCCTCTTCTTTACTTTTCTTCTTTCTGTTTCTTTCCCTCTTTCTTTCTTCCTTTCTCTCTTTCCCTCCATCCCTCCTTCCTTCCTTCTTCCTTTCTTTCTTTCTTTCCTCCTTCCTTTTCCTCCCTCCCTCCTCCTCCTTCTTTCTCTCTCCTTCTTTCTCTTTCTCTCCCCACTCTTTCTTTCTTTCTTTCTTTCTTTCTTTCTTTCTTTCTCTCTTCCTTCTTCCTCTTCTTCTTTTCTTCTTCTCTTTCCCTCCTCCTCCCTTTTCCTCTCCTCTTCCTCTTCTTCCCTCCTTCCTCTTCCTTCCTCTCTTTCCTTCCCCTTCCTTCCTTCCTTCCTTCATTCCTTCCTTCCTTTTCCTTTCCTTTCCTTTCCTTCCCTCCTTCCCTCCCTCTTCTCACCTTCTTTACTTTTCTTCCTCCTTCTGTTCCCTCCCTCCCTCCTCTTCCTTCATTCTCTCTCCTTCTTTCTCTTTCTCTTCCCTTTCCTTCTTTCTTTCTTTCTTTCCCGCCATCTCCCTCTCTCATTTCCTTCTTCTCCTCTTCTTTACTTTTCTTCTTTCTGTTTCTTTCCCTCTTTCTTTCTTCCTTTCTCTCTTTCCCTCCATCCCTCCTTCCTTCCTTCTTCCTTTCTTTCTTTCTTTCCTCCTTCCTTTTCCTCCCTCCCTCCTCCTCCTTCTTTCTCTCTCCTTCTTTCTCTTTCTCTCCCCACTCCCTCTTTCTTTCTTTCTTTCTTTCTTTCTTTCTTTCTTTTCTTTCTTTCTTTCTTTCTCTTCTTCCCTACCTCTTCTCCTCTTCTTTACTTTTCTTCTTACATACTTTCCCTCCCTCCTCCCTTTTCTGCTCTCTCTTTCCTCTTCCTATCCCTCCTTCCCTCCATTTCCTCCCTCCCTCCCTCCCTCCCTTCCTTCCTTCCTTTCTTCCTTTTCCTTTCCTTTCCTTCCCTCCTTCCCTCCCTCTTCTCATCTTCTTTACTTCCTCCTTCTGTTCCCTCCCTCCCTCCTCTTCCTTC